ATAAGCCTTTAATCCACGAAAATCATAGCATTTTAAAAATTTCAATAATTAACTTTTCTTTTCATCTGATTACCTTAATAGTTTTTTTGGTGGAGAGGGGGCGAAGAAAATTTCATCACCATTCAAAGTATTTGACCCAGAGTCTCCTACTCATATGGATTTCATAGGAAAATTATTTTTTATTGTTTTTCCAATAGCCTTGTTAGTGTATTTGGCGCATTCAGTTCATAAGTAAGTTTCGAATTGTGTTGATTTCTGATAGTGACAATTTCAAATACACTGCCCGTCAATTACTTTTGCCATACCTGGGCGAAAAATGAGTAAACTTCAAAGTTTCGTAGCTCAGTCAAAAAAAGTCGGATTGATATTCTGAACCCGCCATTCGAAAGGTATTTACTAGCACTTTAAGGCTATATAAATTGCTATTAGGTTTTTTTGTTTATTCATCAATTTTTATTAACAATTAACGAATAAAAAATATTGCTTTTTTTTGCCTCCGCTATTTCTCTTGCCATTTTAGTTAGAAGGGTCGTAGAAACATTTTGAACCGATGGATTTGTAGGTTTTAACGAGACCTTTAAATCCTTTTTTCAAAAATTTTCCTACGAGCTTTTTTCACAAATATACAGCCCTTTTAGTGCAAAAACGACCCTTTTTTTCGTTTGCATGTACACCGCGTTCAAGGGGTCGTAGAAAAAAATTTTATGTACAAAAAAGGTTGGTTTTTATGCGTACAATAAGAAGCAATAGTTACAATCCGTTTCTGAGAAAATTTTTTTTTTTGATTTTTTTATGCATGTTAACTCACTTATTAACACACACAATCTGGTGAGTTAACATGCATAAAAAAATCGAAAAAAAAAAATTTTCTCAGAAACGGATTGTAACTATTGCTTCTTATTGTACACATAAAAACCAACCTTTTTTGTATATAAAATTTTTTTCTACGACCCCTTGAACGCGGTGTACATGCAAACGAAAAAAAGGGTCGTTTTTGCACTAAAAGGGCTGTATATTTGTGAAAAAAGCTCGTAGGAAAATTTTTAAGAAAAGGATTTAAAGGTCTCGTTAAAACCTACAAATCCATCGGTTCAAAATGTTTCTACGACCCTTCTAACTAAAATGGCAAGAGAAATAGCGGAGGCAAAAAAAGCAATATTTTTTATTCGTTAATTGTTAATAAAAATTGATGAATAAACAAAAAAACCTAATAACAATTTATATAGCCTTAAAGTGCTAGTAAATACCTTTTGAATGGCGGGTTCAGAATGTCAATCCGACTTTTTTTGACTGAGCTACGAAACTTTGAAGTTTACTCATTTTTCGCTCAGGTATGGCAAAAGTAATTGACGGGCAGTGTACATAAAGTTATAAAAATTTACATTTTAGTTTCAAAAAAGATATGAGGAGCATGACGAGAAACGCCCATTTAATGAGCAATGCAGAATGAAAAAAGCTGAATCATCTAAAAAGCATCTACAACTTTGAATTATTTTCCCAAGTAGTTTCGACGCTTAGTTGGATTCACTTCGTAATTGATTACAATTACACTCTCAGCACCCCATACGATGAAATAGTTATTTATTCACTTAGATTTGTGACTGTGAGTTTATTATATATTATCTAAAAAAAATATTCAAATAATAATTCAATTAATTTTTATATTAGTTAATTCTTCTAATTATTTTGAAGAGAAAAAGGATGTTATTAACGAGTCCGTTTTTCGATATACAACATTTCAGACCGCGCGTTACCAATATGTCACAAGGAGTTATAATGTGATACACTTAATTAAGTTATGTGCTGTGCAATAAATTTATTAATTACAGTTTATTAGTACAATTTATTAGTACAGATATATTAAGTTTAGCTTCTACTGTGATTCATACGCATTATAACCGAGTGCCAATAGGTTATATATAAATCATTAATGCAAATTATTTGCTCGCCCAGTTGAAAAAAATTGCATGGATATCCACGTGGAAATCCACGAGGATTAGTAATCCTCGTGGACCATACAGGGATTCCACGTGGATCGTACAGGGATTCCACGTGGATCATACAGGGATTCCTCGTGGATCGATCATGGGCTGAAAAAAATGCAATCACCACGGATATTCGACTGATCCACGCTGATTTTTTTTCAATCCTCGTGGATGTGGAACTTGTTCTCGAGCACGTGCTCGAAACATCCGTGAGGATTTGCGGCGAATCACCACGGATTTTCGACTGATCCACGCTGATTTTTTTTCAATCCTCGTGGATCGATCGAAAATCAACGAGGATTTGCGCGCAATCCCCGTGGATCGATCGAAAATCAACGAGGATATGCGCGAAAATCCCCGTGGATCGATCGAAAATCAACGAGGATTTCCGTGCAAATCCCCGTGGTTTACGTACGTGGACTCTTTATATGATCCATGTTCGATCCACGTGGAATCAATGTCCCATCCTCAAGAAATCCCTGTATGATCCACGTGGAATCAGCGTGGATAATCCACGTGGATATCCACGCAATTTTTTTCAACTGGGTGTGCTTCCTTTGTTCATAAGTTTTCGAAAGTCGATTGCTTAATTTTTATAATTTTTGTTATGTATAAAGAATGTTCGAAACATTAGGAATTATTAAATTTCAGTCTAAATTTATATTTGGCACAAACAATAGAAGATAACGGTAACATTTTTTTATTTATAAATTCATAATTTGATTATATTAATCATTTAACGAAAAAATGATGGTTGCTATTTTGGGAAAAATCTGTTAAAATTAACGAGGCTCTTTCGGTACCGGTTTTTGTACAGTCGAACGCGCTGTAGCTTACGCATGGTGCAGAACGCAACGTAATGCGCATGTGCCGTACGGCTAGGCCTTTCTCGAGCAGACATCTGATTTTAAGTTTATTTCCCATTGAGAAATAGATTTAGTTGATTTTTTTTATAAAATGTTCAATTCATATTTTAATAATAAAAGATTTCTTTCTCAGAATTGCCCCGTTTTTTATTTAATTTAAAATTTTTATTTTTATTCGAATTTGAATTTCGCGCTCTTTTGCGTTGCGTCGTCTTTCGGATCACATCGAGGAATTCAACGGTTATCACGTTATATTTCTGCAGAACGTTCGCCAACCTATATTTTTTATCATTTCATTTTAAACATTATTAAATTCCCTTTCAGAAAATATAACTTTTATCAAAGTCTCTCATCATTGAAAAAAGTTATTAACAAAAAAAGATAGCCTCCCATAAGACTGCATGTTAAAATGAGCATTTTCGACTGCAGTTTTCTCGGAAGTTAGTTCGCCGACCCCCAATTTTTTTTTTTTCTACATAATTGTGATGCTCTAAGGAATCGATGATATCAATTACATCAAATTCTCTCATCTTTGACAAAATCGAAAGAGCCTCCTTAAAATGATGAGATGAGAAATATGTTTGCTATTAAAGATTCCAGGAAATGCGTATATTCCAAAAATATTTATAATTTCTCGAAGGATTCTGAGAAGTGATAATTCTATAGTGTAATTCATTATTGCTTAGTATCTTTCATTCAATGATATCAAAAATAATTGATTAACTGTGAACATTCGGCGTTGATATTTGTCCAAAAAATTGACTGCTACATAAAACGTTTGAATGCAATTCACCAGAACAACGATGTTGTAGTAATGATTGCTTGAACTCGTTGAATGATTATTATTGAAAAAATATATTTTATAAATATTACTCAGAATTAGGTATGAATGATTTTGAAAGATGAAGGTAAAAAACAAATAAATGAGAGAGACATTGAGCTGGTCATATTGGGCACCCTAGTCAAGTGTTTTCTTTAAAGATAACAAAAGTGTAAATGTTGATATGAGTGAAAAATAGTTAATTCAATTTGTTCATGGTCAATACACTCTTCAAATATTTTGTTCTGCATAAAATTTTGAATTTCACTTGTATTAATTTTTGTTGTAAAAAAATTGTGATGCGTTTACAACGCTGTAAATGAATGTTGATGAATTTTTGTATGTAAATATGTAAACAATCAGCTAAACAGAAGCTCAAATTTATTCAATTCCATAATTATTGAGAATAAACTATTTATTGTTACACGATTCTTGTTAGATTTATGTTCATTAAATCATTAAGTGTTCACAAATCGCGGATTCTTGTATTCCATATGATGAAATAAATTAAAGTCAGATTCATTGAATCTTGGTACCAAAATTAAATCATACTTTTATAAACATTTATATTTATTCACAGTGTAATGTCCCACACATCCATCTTAAATTATGTTGTAATTCATACTTTTTTCTAACGATATTTCTATTCATAAAATTCTTTTCAACGCTCAAACTCTTCAATTCAACCAATATAAAATGAAAAAGATATTTATCATAATTTCATAAACTCTTGAGTAAAAGCTTTATTTTAATTACACACTTTTTTCAAATGTGTTTTTTAACTCAAAAACCAGGAAAGAGTAGGTCTTTTATAATAGTAATATGAATTGGTATTATTTGAAAGTAAAGGTTTATTATTGTTTTTGGTTCTTAACATAAGGTCATTATAAATATTTCAATAAAACTAATTAATAATACACTGAAAAAAAACAGTGAAGTAAACTAGAGATTAAAACAAGTACATTTGATTAAATATCAAAGTTTTGGATTTATTTTAAAGATAAATTAATGGTTTTTTTGATGTAACAGTTTTTACGCTGTCCTTTAATACTTTGAAAAATATAACTCTTGAATGATATGATTTTCTAATAAATAATTAGTTAGTACTAGAGTGATTTTCGAATATTCTAATTATGTATCAAAAATAAGATGACTCCGTTGGATCCTTGAATTTTTTTCAATTCCAACAAAATTTCGAATTTTAGTTTTTTAGTCACAATATAATCACTGTGTAAGTCTATTGGAAAAGTTATAGATGAATGAAAATATTTTTGATGAAAAAATAAATTCATCCGATACTTAAGTAAAAATACGAACGTACGATCAAAGAAAAACGATCGCCAAGTCGTTGCGTGCGCGAGTAAGTGCGATTCCATGTACAAAGAGGTGTATGGGAAGGATCGAACAAACGGAGCAGATTTAAAATTCGTATTGCGACACGACGATGAAGATCCTGGCGATGGCGCTGCCGGCGAACGAGCCGTTGGGCGCGTAAATCTCCATGGCGAACTCGAGCTCGATGTCCTGCGGGCCCTGCAGACTCTTGGTCATGACGAGGACGGCCTGGGTCGGGAAGGGCCTGCGCAGAGCGAAGTACGACTCGGTGGCCGGCTGCACGTGCGGGGGCGCGCGCGCCTGAATGAACGCTATGCTGAACTGCATCGTCGCCCCGGGCAGGTTGTAGGCGCCTCGCATGGTGAACAGCTCGACCTGATTCGTCGACACCGGGATCGGGAACATGGACACGATGGCGATGTAATTGTAGGTGTAGTGCGCCGGTCGCTGGAAGCAGGCCTTGTCGTGCACCGAGCAGTAGGGTGTCTCTCGGATGCACCGGCTACGGTCAAAAGAGCACGTTAATTGAGCATTTCAAAGACAATATCTACGATTTCAAACAATTATTACTGACTTTTTTCGGTTCTTGTCGATGATGTAACCAGCGGGACAGTCGATCTTGTTGCACCTGTGACCTCCCCGAAGATTCTGGCACAGCTCGCCGGGATTTTTGCAAACGTTTTCCTGTTTGCATTCGTCGATATCTGAAATGATGTTTTGCGCAAATGTGTTGAGCTCGCATTGAATGGAATAATAAAAAGAACTAATTTTCGCCCTTGCATCATTCGGAATCTAACAATGTAGCAATTGTCGTAATTAAAAGTTTTTACACGCTTGTCCGTACACCACACATTTTAATTAACGGCAAAGGTCATTTTAAAGTAAAGTTAATTGCACCGAAGGTGATTTAAATCATGCCTATAAGAACGAAAAAGAGTATTTTCATCGATTCAACCGAGGGGAGGCTGGGTTGAAGAAAAGGCAAATAATTAAGAATACCGACCTGTGCAGGTATGGCCATCGGTCTCGAGCAGGTATCCCTTCGGGCAAGTGCACCTGTAGCTGCCCGGGGTGTTGTCGCAGATGCCGTGGCAGAGGCCCTTGTTCTCGGCGCACTCGTCGACGTCGACGCAGGTCCGATTGTCGGGCTTGAGCCGGTAGCCGTACTTGCAGCCGCAGCGATAGCCGCCCCAGGTGTTGTAGCACTCGTGCTGGCAGCTGCCGGGATCGCGGGAGCACTCGTCGATGTCCTGGCAGGCGCCCGAGGCGTCGTTCTCGAAGCCGGCCTCGCACAGGCACCTGTACGAGCCCGGCGTGTTGAGGCACTTGCTCGAGCCGCAGGGCCGACCTCGTTCGCACTCGTTCACGTCGATGCAGTCGCGATTTCTCACCTCGTAGCCTGAGACACATTTGCCATAGTCAAATTCTTTCGGTGAAAATCGTTCAAGAATTATATCGATCGGTGTAAAAGTTCTCACCTCGTGGACAGTAGCACACGTAGCCTCCAGGCCTGTTTTCGCAGGTTTGCTGCTCTCCGCATTTGTGCGTACCTTGCAGACATTCGTCGGTATCCTTGCAACGTCCAGAAAGGAAATCCGGCGCGTAACCGGGTGGGCAAATTATCACCGGACCATCGCAACTGTACAAAGTTGAATGCATGAATTGTGAGCATTAAAATTGAATGCAACAAAATATGATTTGCACCGAATAAGTTGATAACAATTTTGCGTACTTGAATGATCCAATTGTGTTGATACATTTACGAGAGCCGCACACTCTGGGATTTTGCTGACATTCGTCAACGTCCATGCACTGACCAATCGGGCCCGTTTCAAAACCTGGTGGACACTTTGGTCTCGGTCTGTAAAAGCGGGAGTCGATCAAAACTTCATTCATACAACAATAAGCTGGAAATTAAAATTCAAAAGTCGAACCTTGGAGTGGATGTATTCGATGAGAAAGGGGTGAATGGAGTTGACGAAGGTTTAGTCTTTGACACTGGCTTGGTTGCTTTTTTATCCGGTACTTCCTTTGGCCTTGGTGTAGTTGTTTCCATTTTAGGAGCCAGCGTACTGTTGGAGTTGATTTTTGGGGTGACTGTAGCTTTGGTGCTGGTCCTCATCGGGGACGAGGTAGTCGAGGTCGTAACGGCTTTCGTTGTAATTCTATGACGAGTTTTTGCTGTTCAGATATTTCGCTCGGAAAAATGAATCAAACGGTCGTATTACCTGGGCGTCATCGTAGGCCTCGGAGTGGTGAGGAAGGGGGGCCGGACGACGACGGGCCTGCGACTGGTCGGCTTGACGCTCCTGTCCTTGTCGCACCTGAAGCTGCCGAGGGTGTTTCTGCACCTGTAGCCGGGCGAGCAGTCGTGGGTGCCCATGACGCACTCGTCGTCGTCCTCGCAGTGCTCCGTGGCGGCGTTGAGGGTGTAGCCGGTGCCGCAGGGCAGAAACCGGATGCAGGTGTAGCTGCCGATGGTGTTGTCGCAGCGCTGCGACGTGTTGCAGGCGTTCTGGAGCAGGCACTCGTTGATGTCCAGACAGGCCTTGGTCTCGTTGTCGCGCCTGAAGCCCGTCTTGCAGCGGCAGCTGTAGCCGCCCTGGCTGTTCTCGCACTCCTCCGTAGTGGGGCTGCACACCTCCTTCCTCTCCACGCACTCGTCCACGTCGACGCAGCTGCCGATCGTCGCGTTGTACCTGTCGTTGTATTCCGTTAAAATTAATGTTTCTATACATAGCATCGACTGGCTTCTATTTGATTGGTATTACTTGTAACCGTAGTCGCAGTAGTGGCTCTCGGTCGTCGATTGGATCTGCGAGTCGGTCGTTAGCTCGCTCATACGTGTCGTCGGGGTGATTCTCTTCCTCACGGGCCGCACGACGGCTTTGGCACACTGAAAGCTGCCCGGCAAATTGTAGCATCTCTCTTTGCCGCAGTTGTGCGTTCCCTCGGCGCACTCGTCGATATCTGAATAAATTTCGTGATTACTAGCGTTATTTACTTCATCGAATAATCATCATGCGTCGACCGTCAATCGGCGTTTCGTCTTGACTCGCTCGCATTTTACTCAACTTCGTAACGAAGCATTTACCAATTAAGTGCGATGATGATGAAGAATGAAAAAAGCTCTCGAACGGACAAGCGCATGCGAAATCGTTTAGGGGCGTTGGTGTATCGGTTAGTAGCGGGTGACGAAGATTGATTAAGCGTAAAACACTATTTAGTACGTGCGGAAAGTCATAAAAATTGATTAATGAACAATGATAAAGTTATTAGTTTACGAAAGAATCTTTAATATTCGAATGGAACTTATAGATAAAAATGGTTATTTATACAGCTATTTTATCATTCGCAGTACACTTTATTTCTTTGCTCAAAGAGTTTTAGCTTATATATAGTAAAAATATTTGTATGATATCGTGATGTAAATAACAATCGAGAGTATAAAAAAGTATCGCGAATCGAATGACATCGTACGAAGTACTTGGAGTATTATCTCACGATCTAACAATAATTTTCAATACAATTCATTATTTTGTCAGTCTCTATGCAGTTGCGTCGATTATAAAACGGGCCGCCGCACGCAATTAGCTCTCGCGGAGGCAGATCAAAAGTCTCTCAGCGAGCCATCGAGACGGCGCTGGTCGTGGCGTCCTCCGTGGTACTCGGAGGAGTAGCGGCGCACTTCCTGAGCTCGGGCTCGTAGACCAGGCCGTTGGGGCAGGCGGGCCGCTTGCGGTGTCCGGGCCTGTTGGGGTCGTTGGGCAGGCGCTCGCACCTGTAGCCGCCGGGCAGATTGAGGCAGCGCTCGGCGCGCGGGTCGCAGCTCGCCCGGGCCTGTCGGCACTCGTCCACGTCCTGGCACTGGCGGCTCAGCAGCGAGTACTCGTAGCCCCGAGGGCAGGAGGGCAGCCGCGTGATGCACTCGTAGCCGCCGTCGCGGTTCACGCAGTAGCGGTGGGAGTCGCGCGAGCACGTGTGCAGGCCCTCGAGGCACTCGTCCACGTCGACGCAGCTGCCGTTCTGGAGGCGACGGTAGCCCGCGGCGCAGCTGCCCAGCGGCTCGCAGCCGAAGCCGCCCGGCCTGTTGACGCAGTACTGCGAGCGCTGCGAGGGCACAATCGTCGGTCTCGTGTAAAATCGCGTGCTCTCGTCGTTTCTATTTTTTTCTATTATAAATACGTACCCGACAGTTGTGGTGGCCCAGAAGGCACTCGTCCACGTCCTGGCAGGACTTGCTCTGGGGCTGGAAGAACCAGCCGGGCCCGCAGAGGGGCGAGCACTCGTAGCTGCCCAGCAGGTTGCTGCACTTCTCGTGCTCGCGGCAGCCGGGACCCTCGAGGCACTCGTCCACGTCAACGCAGAGCTCCGAGCTCGAGGCCGCTTCGCTGTGGTTTCGCTGCCTCGCTGGATTGGCCTGCGATTCCCGGGCAAATTCTCAGTTTGGTATCGATATAGTTTCGGTTCTCAGCGGCTTCGAACCTTACCTTGAAACCCTTGCGGCAGTAGATTTTCGGGGGCTCGGCGGTCGTCGGCGCGGGGGTCGATCGAGGCTGCTCGCAAGTGAACGAGCCGTTGGTGTTCTGGCATCGCTCGTTTTCCGCGCACGAGTGCAAATTCTCGCGGCACTCGTCGACGTCGCGGCAGGTCTGGTCCTCGGCCATGGCGAAGCCCTTGGGGCAGCCGATCGGGATGCAGTCGTAGCCGGCCACGGTGTTGCGGCAGACCTCCTCCGGTGCGCAGGGCTGCTCGTGTATTTGGCACTCGTCGATATCTGTGAATTCGCGAAACGACCTTTTAGAGAAACGATCGACTTTTTTTTATTTGCTGCTTTCTCGCGGACCTTCTTCCTCGAGGAGGTCCTCGTAGTCGAAGCCGGATCTGCCGTAGTCCGTCCCGTTGCTGGCGAACAGATTGGGCTCGTTCAGCTGATTGTAGTCTCGGACTTTGACGCACTCGTAACCGCCCAATGTATTGACGCAGACGGTGTCGGGCCGCAAACAGACGTTGATCAGCTCGACGCACTCGTCTATGTCTGCGGAGACGCATTCAAGTTACGCTTGAAAATTCACGTTTTCGTCGAAACTATTGCCACGAAGACGCGTGACTTACCCAGACAAGCCCCGTAAGTACTGTCGAACGAGTATCCTTTTTCACATACTATTTCACACTCGTAGCTGCCATCGAGATTCTTGCAAATCTCGCCATCGATGAGGCATTTGTGGATGTTCTCGGCGCATTCATCGATATCTTTGGTGTGTTTTTTTTGCGCAAGTTTGGACAATTTAATCGGAGCACGAGTCGCAGAGAAGAAAAAACGCTCAAATTATTTTCACGCGTTCGCACAGTTTGTAGCGAATAAATTCTAATTAATCATTGTAATTATGATCGATTTAAAGTTGAACTCGTGATTAAAAATTTCTCACTGGATTCTATAACAGATGTTGATAATTGTTCATTGAGATTCCAAAAACATAGGAATACACGAGAAAAATGAACATTTTGATAGGTACATCTTACTGTTACGACTGATATAGTAGTTTTTTCTTAGGTATTTTTTTCAGTGTAGATAAATATTCACAAAAAATTATACCGTTTGAATGTAATTTTTTTAAGCGTATTGGATACTCATATTTGGATATCCCACGGCCAAAAATAGAGCGAGAGAAAAGTTTCGAATGATTTCGACAATGTCAAACACGAAATAGTCACATTAACAAATATAGCTGCAGACACAGTACACTATCAAAAATTCTGAGATATCAATAAAAACATTTATCAACATCTATTTGATTTACCCGAAAATTTTAAAGATTTTTTACAGGATCTCTTATAATATAAAGATTGTGGTCGAGACTCACCGAGACATTGCTCGAGCGCGTCGTCCCATCGATAGCCAAGCTCGCAGCGATCGGCCGAGTTGTTGCCCAGACTGATGCTGAAGCACCTGAAGGAGCCCTTGGTGTTGAAGCACATGCTGCTCGGCGGGCAGGGATTTGTCGGGCCTTCGCTGCACTCGTCGATGTCTGCGCTCGATCGCGGGCCGCCAGGCAAATTATCGCAGGTGGCCGCAAATCGTGACGACACGAGCCAAAAGCCCAGCGATACGGTTACACATTGTATACATGAGGCAGTAGTGTCGGACGGTATCGCGCGCAAAAGCCACGCCGGCCTTCGTAAACGCTCTCGAACGCTCAAATATATATATACGATACTTGCAAATACGATGCTTCACCGTACAACGCGATAATGCCTATTTTCATAATACCCTTTTTTTTTGCAAAACTTTTGAGTCATTCGCTCTATGATATATATTAATGGTGTGGGCTGCTGACTCGAGTCTCGCTGTCGCAGTTATTATTTTACCATATACATTAGTACAAAGTACGGAGAGACGAATTATTTTTAACGAAAAGGCGGATGAAAGTGGCAAAGCACATACAAATTACAAAAACACGATGAGCATGAGACCGTGGCAGAAAAAAATATAACGCTAATTGGCGCTCTAATATGTACAAATAGTGGGTCGCTTTTATATATGTCAAGTCGGAGGTTTGATGAATCAACCGATGTGTATATATATACGTTTAAATGTTTTTATGAGACAAAAGCCAAGTGAGCACATGGATGAGTGAATGAATGACTGAATGAACTCCGTATAGCGACTATGATAAATGATGAGCGTGAAAAAAAAGGAAGCAGAATTGAATTACCATCGCAGATTTCGCTGGAAGTGAAGCGGTATCCACTGGGGCAGAGGGAGTTGTGCTCGTTGGGCTCGGTTGACAGTGACCTCGTCGTTCTCGGCCTCGTGACGCTCGACGATACTTTGAGCGTACTCCTGGCCGTGGCCTTGGTGGGCTTGCTCGTCTTCGCTTTTGCCGTTGGGGGACTCTTTTTTACCGGTGTCGTGCTGCTGCTGCTGGTCACCTTGGTGGCGATGGTCGTCGTCGTCGACGGTGAGACGGTGCTCCTTGGAGTCACCGTGCTCGTTACGTCCGGAAGACAAGTTCTGCCGTCGGCCTGCAAGGTCGAGCCCGCGCTGCAATTGCAGTAGTACGAGCCGGGCGTAGGGACGCACGTCTCCGAGCACAGTAGGCTGCCCATCAACTCGCACAGGTCGACTGAAATTTAATATCGTAGAGCATTCGACTTTTTATGTTTCCAATTTCCACGGTGAATTTCAAATCCCCTTCCAAATCAATCTCATTTTCATTCAAGGACGAATACAATTGGAACAACGAATCGATTCAAAAAAAATTTTCCCGGGAAACAAACGAAGGTCTCCCCGATGCGCGCGACGAAGCGGGTTAAGTAACATCCTTAGCCTCTTCGGCAGTAAATTTCGGAACAAAAAAAAGAAAAATTCCCCCAAAAAAATATGTCAAACAAGCTGTCGGAGCCAACTGTAAATTGTTAAATAGAAAAATTGAAAATTCAAATCAACGACGACGAGGCAAGATGTTCGCTACTTGTAATGTGGAAGAGGACAAAAGAAGCAGTAACCAACTGTTTGATATTTTTCGCGAGATGCGGTAGGCCGACCAGCAGCAGCGTCAATGGCGACTTCGCGGAGCTGCTGATCAACCTGAACGACGACATGGACCAGCCGACGGGTTCGTTGATTACAGATCGCGCAGCTTGAGTCGTACTTGGTAATCGTCGTCGTGTCTAACGCGTAAAAATTGCGAGCGCAGTGCACTTGGGGCCGTACATCCCGCACTACATGCTGCCGAGGCCCGAAGCGGCGATAAATTTCAACCACTCGGACGAGGAGCAGTCGACGGCCGACGAGAGGAACAGCTCGACGCGAGGACCGCTGCCGCGACGACCGGACGCGCCCTTCCACTGGCGCCGCTCGACCCCCGAGATCGTCAAAAAAGTGCGCCTCGCGCTCCAAGAGATGTGCGGAGCCGACGACGACTTCGAGCTCTTGATCGGCGACGACGACGGCAACGAGGACGAGAAGCCCCAGCACGATCGTTGTCGCGAGCGATCGAGCGTCGCGGCGGTCGCCGTGGCCACCTCTCGGAGCTTCGACAGCATCGCCGAGCAATGGTACGACGCGGCCTGATCGCGACTCGCTGTATCTCGCTGTAGGGCCTCGAGAGCCTGGACAAAGTCGCGACCAACAAACAATAAAGAGAGTAAACCTGTCGAAACGAAATCTGCAGCCGTCTTGTGGGTCCCTTACTCACCCGTCAAGTTGAAATTGAGATTCGGATCGTTGAGCTCGTCGATGATGCTCTCGAGCTCGTCCGAGTCCGCTGCCTGGCTAGTCGAGACGACCGTCGAGCTCATGATGGCCGTTGTCGGGCTCGTCTCCTGTTTCTGGCTCGTGCTCGTCATTGCGGCTTCGTTGCAGCACTCGGTGAAGGCCGGGTCCCACGGGATGCCGAGATTGATTTTTTTTAAGCCGCACGTTTTGCCGCTCGTACCAGCCGCGATACCTGCGAGTCGAGAGCACGCGATCGCGTTATTATCGTGTGTGTCACGAGCAGCCGAGTTAATAAAAGGTAAAAGAGGCGCATACCGAGCTTGCAGCCCTCGCAGCAGTCGCGGCGAAAATCCCCGAGGCCCACGGGCGTTCGTCGGGGTCCCGTCTCGCTGCGCGTGCACGCGAGTCCGGCCTTGGCGTCGGCCTTGCCCAGCTTGCAGTCGTCATCTTGGAATTTTTTCCGACAGCATATGTCGATGGTCTCGAGGCAAGCCGACTGCTCGGTCGCGGGCACGCCGGCCACCGGTCCGGAAAAACGTTCGCAGCGCAATTTCTCGTTGGCCCAGGAGCTTCCTAAGCCGCAGCATTTCTCCAGGTAGTCCTCTTCGTCACCCTTCTCCTCATCCACGCTCGAAGCTTCCTGGATACCTGAAAAGTGTTCATTTGTTGGCTTTTTGCTCTGTACGTTATAATACCTATCTGCAATAATTAAGATCTACGAATTTGGAAAATAAAAAGGTTCGAGTCTGGCCCAATGATGCATTCATCAAAATGATTGCAACTTCGTAGCTATAATTATGATTCACGCGCATAGGCATTAAATTCCATCGACAACGCGCTCAGAAACTTGTGCATCGTCGACAAACGAATAAGTAAACAAAGACGTGCACGTGTTAAAACTAATCTTTCATTCGACGAAATAACTATTGAACTAAACCAAAAGTTGTTGGAAATATTTTCATCTCAGTTTTCAGTACTCGGCAGAGAAAAATATAAAGGCTCATCGCAGTTGGGAGCTTACAGTCATAAATGTTGCTATCGTTGCACGAGAAGCTGCAAACAATTCTCACACTGCGCCTCGTGCATTTATCATTTGCAAAGTCGAATGGCGGAAAAGCACTAAAGAGTCATGCTTATATAGGGCATAAACATTCGAATGTATTTATTTGCATAGGAGCGCGCGCGCGTACGAGTTTAGTTTATATTTAAACAGCCGAGAAGTTTGAGTACGGCATGAAGGGCTATTATTTGCCTCTTGTTAAGTAGCTAACTTGTAATTGTCGGAGGAGTTGCTTCGATTATTTAGGGATACTCTTGAGTTTTCATAGGAAAGCATAAACTATTTTGAACTTTCTCGATAGTACGATCGATAATATTTCTTTAAAACTTGTAGAAATAAAAAAATAATCTAAATAAAAAACTGCTTGTATTTAAAAAATTCAAATATAAAAATCATTTGTATATTCATAAAAAGTACGAAGTCGTAAGTATTCACCATGAAGAAGTAGAATCAGAGAAAATATGAAGCACCAAGTCGATAGCGGAGCCATCCTCGTCGAGCTTTGTTCTATCGCCCCAGCCGAGCTTTCGAGCGATCGGCCAGAGTCGCCGATATCTCGTGCTCAAAAAACGTACGGATTATGAAAAAAGTCTCGCGCAAAAGTCTGGAAGCAACGACGAAGCTGCGCACTGGTGCATCGACGACGACTCTCGTTCATTCACAAAGCCAAGTAGGTATAGCTGCAATCGCTATGGGGAGGACTGGCCACGCACTGCACACACACGAGAAGCGCGCAGGGAAGTATACGAAAGTAGAAACCTCGGGGGATATAAGCACGCGAAACGATGGGAAGCGACAGACTGACGGCGGCGACGACGACGACGACTCCGTGCGCTCTCGGTGTATATATCGGCTCGTTTGCGCCGCCGGGGCCTGTAACACTTGCGTGTGCCAGTGTAATTGTATGTATATCTCTGCGCCTTTTGTATAGGTGTATGTGTTATATATATTCGCACACACATACATACACACACACACACACACACAAGCTCGTTGAAATGTGTCGCAGTCTCTCTCGGATGTGTGTACGACGACGACGACATTCGGAGGGAGAAAAGTAGAAGACGCAAAAGAAGAAAGCGAGAAAAAAGCAGATCGCTCGGAAGAAGAAGACGAAGAAGAAGAAGACTTTGCTCGAACGAAGAGCGCGCGATAGCGAGACCGTATGTACTACATATACGTATGTACATAGCGACAATTTGCGAAAGGGGAAAGATCCTCTTTCGTCATCGCCCCGACAGAACGAGAGTCGACGATAAGACCTCGTCGTCTCGCAATTGCGACGATCCGTCGACGCGCCAGCTACCGACAAACACTTGACCAACCGCGAAAAAGACGCTCGGCCTAGGATTCTAGTATATGCTTGTGCGTCGCACAAACGCACGCATATAACGTATACAAAACGCTTTGTACTTCCCTTGCACTTTTTTTTCGTCGTCGTCGTCGTCGTCGTCGTCGCGCGCGCTTCCTCGCGCCTGCTGCAGTTTGTATAATATCATATGCCGCGGAGCAACACATGGCTCGAGATCGCGCGTCATCGCGTGTGTCCGCTGCTGCCTGCAACGTGCTTTTCGTCGCCTATGATATATATATACGATCCCTTTTTACGCGCGCCCACGCATTTTTCGACTCCGCGTCTCGCGCGGTCGTAAGAAAAAAAGTAAGTAGTGCCGCCGAAACTAGGTGAAGCGAAACGTTATCAAGCTATTTATAAACTTCTCTTATCGATGTGATTTCCACGCGAAAAATGGCAAACTGCCCGACATTAATCGGAGCTTCTGTTTTGATCGTTTTATTTTGAAAATTAACAAAAATTTGTGCATTAGCATTGTAATGACTGAAGCTTTCGTCGCTAAAACATTAAATGTAATGCACTTACTCGACAATGCTTCTAGTTTCTGAATAGCTCGAGCTCTTTTTCCTCATAAAACTATGATTTTTAGATTTATTTGAAAATATTAGCAACATTTTCATACGCACATTGATCTTGCCATCTATTCTCTAATTGTCTAATTTAAATATTAAAAAAAACCGCTGCCAATTCATTGGCAAAGTGCTTCCTCATAAAAAATTATATTAATGAAAGGGTTTAGTTATTGAAGGGAAAATTCGTATTTTATTTTTGAATTTCAAATTCCGTTTTCTTTAATGCATACGAAAATCCTAAAAAACTTAAAGATTTCTAGAATTTCGTGTAAGATTACCTATGAGGAAGCAAAAACAATATTTCAATTGCAATCAAATAGTAAAGAAATTTAAAAATAAATACTTTTATAATTTTAAAAACTATTGGTTAATAGTAAAAGTGATGAGAATTGTACTATTTAAAATTCTTCGGATCGGGATGTTTTTCTGTGGAAATTTTTATTTCGAATGAATTTCTAAGGAGTGACGAACACACCAAAGACAGGTAAAATTTATAATGCTTTAGCCATCAATCACATAACTTGCTGTGCTTTGTTCTGGGGGTATACCAGGCTCAATTCGTTGTTTTGTCGAAATTCCAAACACATGCTAAATTGGCACATTTGAAATATTCCACACTTGTCCTATGATTGCTTATATAATCCTTACCGACAACAAATTCATAACATTGAGATCTGCTGCGAACAAAAAATCTTCATGACGATTTTTTAAAAAACTTTCTCAGTGTTTCAATGGAGTTACTATAATATTCAACGCTGCAAAAACTTTTGTACTCGAACGTTCCATTACATTATAATTAACCCGCATAGTCGAAAAATGAAGTGTCTAGAAAATTTGAACAAAGTGCGATTATGGAAGCTGCAAGCTCGTATAGCACGCGCGTTTTACTCTTAACGAGCGGACTCCGATGCCAGGCTACGACGATGGCGACCCTGACACAAATTAAGGCGTAGCTGAGCGAGCGCGTGTGAACAAAATCATTGTGCTCGTGTGTAAAAAGTATAGCAGCGAAAAAAAATTCGGCTTCTGCGCCACGGGATGATAGAAATGACAAATGTGCCGTTGCCTCGAGTCTCGGAATTTTGGTCATAAGCATGACGTATGCGCACGTTCTATATGTTTACGCGCGTTAAATACGGCCCATGGGCGAAGCGGAAAAAAAAGACTACTGTGTGGCTGTGGGGCGACAAATGTTTTTTACAAACGTCAAAAAAGACAAAATGAAAGTTGATGAGAAAAAGGGACTACCCGTGGCGCATCAAGATTGCGTATATAGTTAACGAATATTATAATTAAAAACGATTGTATTTTAAAGCGCGAATCGTAATTCATTGATTTTCGTCTCTACGAGTAATTTCGAGAATAGCACAATCAAATGAATGCGATTAGCTTTAAACAATATTTTCTGATCTTTAATTATTAGCTACGCAGCTATTTTATGTATAGTATACCCGACCACCCTCTTTCGACCATTTTTTATTCGAGTTGTAGGTGCCTTTATATTTACTTAGAACTAATTAAATAGCCGTATTTGAAACATTCATTGTTGAATGATTTTATTTATTGTGTCAAGCAAGTTAACATAATAAAAATAATAAAAAATAAAAATATATTATATTGAAATGTGGTCAAGTGAAAACGTTATAATTTTCAGAACTAAATTTTTCAACGATTAAAGTTTTATTCGCAGAATCTTTTTTAATGAATTCTGATAAACCCCAATGTTTTATACAAATCATCATTGTAATTATATTTTCTTGAGAAATCATTTTTGCAATTTATTTTCAAATCTATAAGATTGATCAAAAGCTGTTTTAGCAACATTACTCCTCGTCAAAAATATCCAAAGATAAAAATTGGAATGTTTGTACTTAGTATACGATTTATTGAGATTGTTTCCATAAATGAAAGAGCCATTTCTTACATAAAAAAAATTGTTTACTCCTATTTAAGTCCATAACGAAATTTAAAAAAACCGATTCATTTGTTATACATTATATTAATTATTTGTGGTTGAGAGAAGCTTTTTCAGATTATACCTGCAATTTCCCCGTTAATATTATTGATAAATAAATCGAACCCTTTCTGTTGCAAACTAAAATGAAAATATTAATTAATCCATTTTAAATTTCCGCTTATTTGATAGCAAATTAAACTTGCTATTGTATTGGTGATTAAGATTAGCAGAATGCATTTTGATCAGCTGTTCCATAACGCATATACATAGTATCGCAAATAATACACAGTGCAGCTATGTTGTTTCATCTTTTAGCGTTTCTTAAGTAGAAAATAATTATAATTTTGAATGGGATTTTTTTATGAGTGACATAATATTATATAAGACTCTGTTAATTAATGTATAAAATATGAGGTAATGAATACTTTTACTACTTTTCTAAGAAATATGATAATTTTATATTGATTTACATGATTTTTTATACTGCGTGTTTATTAAAATTGAAATTTCATTGAATAATATTGAAATTTTCTATTAATATTTTACAGTTCAAATATTCGAGATTTAAATACTTGCAAGATCATAAGTGCAGCTTATGCTCTTGGGGATGCTATAGATAACATTTGTCAATACTTGAAAATTCGAGACTTGATGCGTGTTTCTTCAGTTTGCAAGTATGTTCCAAATAAAAATACATTTGTGTTAATAGACATTTGTTTTTACACATTTTAATCTCATCAGATTATGGAATGAATCAGTTACACGAGAATTGTCTAAAAGAGGTCCTCAAATGGCATTACTACCTGATGAGTCTCATTCATGTGAACAAATTTGGGATATATTGAGGATAAAACCTTATATAGGCTTGTTATTTATTGGGCCTAGTTTAAGGGAACGTAACACCAAAAATTTAGAGTTTCAAGGTATTCTTTTGGAAAAGTAACTACAGATGCTTAATGTGAACATAAATAATGTCAAATTGATTTTTGTTTACAGTTTTATCAATGTATAAAAAATATTTCCCTCAGTATTTAGTTGCTATAGGTGTAGATGAATCAATTATGAATGAACAAGTTATTGTCAGTTGTCCAGGTCTGCTTGGTAATCCAAATGGAATATTAGGCCTTTTTATTCCTGAATATCAAGATTTGAAAATAAAAATTTCATTTTGTACCAATGGTGCAGGTACTGATGCAGTTGAAAAAATTACAAGTGAGATAACACCTGATGATAAAAAAATTAAATCAACAATTATAATGTTTTGTAACTCGCACCAAGGCTATTCGATAGCTCTTCAAGTTTGGAAATTGATTAGAAAAAGGTATGGATACAACTTTTTTTTATAGATCATTATAAAAATGGCTTTTATTATTTCATTACTATAAATTTTCATAGATTTAAACAAAAAAACTATACCTTGTGGGGAGGTGTATTTGATGATGACTTGAAAGCTATTAATTGTTCTACAGTAGAACATGTTGACAGTAAAAAGACAGCTGTCTTTGCTATGAGTATTACAGGTAGTTGCTTAGAATCATGGTCAATGGTTGTAGATTGTACGAATACAAAAAGTGATATCAATAAAAAGCTTTTGCATTTAAAAAATAAGTTAAATCTTAAAAGACATACAATAGGCTTAGTATGTGGTCCTCGATATGTAGAAGATTTAAGTAAAAGTTCCTATGAAAACATGTATCGTAATAGTCATGAATTAATGGCTGAATTAAAAAGGATTTTCTCAAATATACCATTCATTGGAGTTTTTAATTATGGTTATAATTGCCACTTTGGAGTAGATTCATCTAGTGATGGTAATAACATTCAGTTTAAAGTAAATTAAGTGAACTTTATTATAGATGAATAATTATATTTTCATTGAATAGATAACAGGCAAGATCTTGCTCTTAAAATGGCTATGTCAATAATGATTATATCTTATGACTGATGAAAGAAGAAACTTCAAACTTACAAATTTATGATTTGTAAAAACAATTCATACATTTAACTATTAAAACGAAATTTAAAATTTAATAATTATTACAACGAACTTAAAATGAGTTATGCCAAAAATAGTCATTGTTACTAATTTGAAAGTATTTTCTTAATAATTGTTAAAAATTTATTTTGTAAATAAATATTTTATATTTAAGCACCACTTATAGCAATAAAATGACAGATTTTATTTTTTAAATTACAAAAATGGTTCAATATTTATTTCCAATGATGTACAAGGAATAGAAAGACCAAATTTGGATAATACTTCTGGATGAAGTGTGCCAATTTTGCCAATAACTTTGCCATAAGCTACTACTTCTCCACACCTTTGTGGGAAAAATGTAGGATCTACAAAAATATTTTTGATCATTAGTTAATTGAAATTGATTCAATGAAAAAAAAAAAAATAATTTACCTTCGAGAGGTCTAAGATGATAACCCTGGTCATCTTTATTACAATGCCAAGGTACTTCAAGTAAGGCCATTATTCTGTCTAACACACCATGAACAAATTCAAATCTTGCCATTTTATTATAATAAACAACACATAAGCGTCTTTCATTACGAGCACCAACTTCAGTATTTGAATCACGTAAAATAACATCTGATATTTCAAATAATTTCATAGGTAAAGGCATTTTTCTATTAGCAACAATTGTTTTTAGTAAGCCTGGCAATAAAGTTGTCCTTCCAACCTATCAATAGAAAATTATCATATGATTAATATTATTAATTGCAAATATTATAATTAAATATTAAATACAATTATATCATACTTGGAACTCTAAAGTTTTTGGATTGGATATGTGTACTGCTGGTACATTTTGAATATTATGACCAAGTCTATCAGCAATATCTTCTTTTGAACACTGGAAATAGAATAAATAATTATTCATATAATTCTAATTTACATTATTGAATGATTTAAATAATAATTATAAATGTAGCATATTTATTTTGATTATTTAAAAAAATTACCAATGAAAATGTTAGGGCTTCTGTAAATCCAGCATTTGCCATTGCTTCTCGTAATTGATCAGTGAGTTTATTGAGAGGGAACTGAAATTAAACAAAAAGTGTATCAAATAATCAACCCTTTACAGGAAGAAATGCATGAAAACTTTCAATAAGTCATAAATGAATATTCAAATTCTTACTTCTTTCCCAATGCTAGGAGTTTTAGGGATAGTCTTTTTAATATTATTATAACCATAACCAATTGCAACATCTTCATAAATATCGCATGCATGAATAACATCATGTCTTGTAGGTGAAACTTCCACATGCAGTTCATCTTTTCCTTTAACTTCAGTTTTCAATGACATTTTAGTAAGAAGTTTAGCCACATCTTCAGGTGATTGACTAAAATAAATTGTTATATAAATTAAAATTAAATAAATATCTATTCTTAAATTAATAAAGATATTTAACATACCTAATTCCCACATAATTAGTAGCACGTGAACTACTTATTTTTTCAATTCTATATTCAAGTTCTGGAGTTTCAAACTTAATATTGTCTGGATAAATAACTTCCACCATTTCTATTTCGTGCTTTTTAGAACAATATTCACTGAAAGCACATACCAATGTATCAACAGCTATTTTGGCCTAAAATGTATAATTTTGTAGTCACAAGTTGTATAATATTATGTCCTTAAAATTTATCATAGTAATGAAGATTTACCTTAGTAAGATCAGTGGCTGTACACTCAATAAAAATATTCTTTGTATTAAGAGTTATTTTTGAGTGGTCTCCATTAATAATAGGAGGCAGAGATAAAATAAGACCATTCTTATCATAAATTACTGGATAAACAGGACTATCTTTAATAATATGTAAATACTGCTTCAATTGCGCATGGTTCTTTAAAAAAAAGCATTTCATTTAACAATTAGAAACCAAAAAAAAAAAAATAAATAATTGAAATAGGCCAAATCTTACTGCATATAACTCCATGATTTGTTCTCCAGTATATTCTTTTTCTTGATTAAGGGGTTTAAAGAAAATATCTTTAGGAGGTTTAGCATCATACACAAAAGGTCCTTGAATTGTATCCAAGTCATGAGTTCCAATGGAAACTAAGCTACGTTTTCTTCCAATATTTTGATGTAGTTTATCTTGCAGATCAATGAAACTGTCATATGCAGCTTGTGTAATGGTTACATTTCTTAGTATTGCAGCAACAATATGAGGCCTAATTTGTAAACACTGTAAAATGGTATGAATAAATTAGTACCAATTTTTAAATATTAAAATGACTCGGGAGTCATATAATGAAAATACATACTGATTTTTTCATCTCAATTCTCTCAATATTCTGAGGTCGTATTGATTTGTAAAAAGGGACAGGTATTCTATAAATAAAAATAAAAAACAATGATGTAAATTTCGAAAAAACAATTAGTGTATTATAAAAAGGAATAAAAAATTACTTACTTTTCTAAAAATACTAAAAGACCATTAACAAGACCTTCTAAACAAAGTAAATCGTATCGATTGGCAGGGATGTCAATTTTGTAAATAATTTCATCAGAAGCTCCTTGAATCTTTTCTAGTCCTTGCTCTTTGGCTATCATTTGCTGTTCTGTTGTCTAAGTTGAATATTTTATTAAAAAAAATTTTGTGAATTAAAATATCAAGTAGAAAGTGAAAGAAATTTACCACTTCATCCAATTCCAATCCAAATGCAAAACATAACTTTTGAAATTCATCATCAGCTGTGCAAAAAAATTATTTTCATAGAATTTAAGATCAATTAAAAAATGTATAAAACATGTTTTTGATTTGATAGGAATAAATATAAACTCACTGTAAGTCTCCCCAAGGGCTTGGAACAGCAAGTTGCGCTTAATATTAATCGTAGGCATTTTTTATAAATAATTTGGTGAAGTGTAACTGGATCGAATTCGCAGATGAACCATACGTTCATTCAGGTTATGTCAGTTAGACATGCATAATTTCTAGCTGGTCCAACGTTCTCAGAATTGGCACGTCTTCGTACTATGAATTCCAAGACGTGAGATCAATTAGATGAATGAGTTGGCAGGTCGTGGTATTAATAGTCACTGGACGACTTCACATCACCATGCACTTCCTTCATTTATTGATAAACTCTAGCAATATTTCTAAGATGTCATGCACAATATTACAATGGAAATATGTGCAAAGATCCACGTGTTCTAGCAGTTCGCCGCATCAGATATTCAACATGTCATACATATTATAATACGAATGTCAGTGTTAAAGAGTGAAAAGTTGTGGATCAAAGATCTTTCAATAATGTCGTATCATTTAATAGACAATTCAGATAAGGAGTCAATAATTAAAAAGAATCATAGATTTAGTTGGAGTGAATCAATTTGAAGGGGTCGCGCCCTCGAACATAGACCTTACAGATAAAACATTTGCACTTGGCGCAGGCTGCATATATTCAGTTTTCTGCAATAAGTGCATTGTTCAAGAGATGCGCAAGCGTATACGAGTAAATAGCAATTCATGAACCACCGTCGACTGTCGCTTAACATTTTGCAAACCAGTGCCTGCAATGCAAAGTTGCTATGCTTGTAATTTGTTAGGGTAAATCTCGGATCAGAGATAAGGTAGCATCTCTCGAACTAAGAGAGCGTGACATCGAGTACACTTCATTGTCTGTTTTAATATTGAATCGCATAAAAAACTAGACTAATTTCTAGACTAAACAATTTTCATAGTTTATTTGATTCGTAAAATATTGAACTGGTCGTCATTGACAAAATAAAAGTAATAACATTACGATCGACAAGTGAAGACGAAGAAAGAAGGGGCCAATTGCAAATCACCAAGCAGAGCGTGGACGCTAAGTATTACATATGCAGCAGACGTCTTTATTTGTTTAAAAAGAAGCTTGTATGGCATGCTAATATAAAAATGATATAATTAATGAAAAAATCCTAAACAGTGATTAAAATACTTCATTGAGTTTTCGCGGCAATAGCGTAAACAATCAGCACACAAAATGACTGACAAAAGGTCTAAAAGGCTGTCAACCGAGCTTGACGTAGGGAAGTCAGACGAGGAGCGTTCTAGCAAGGATAAAGATTACGGCGACTGGATATGCATCGATACCGAGTAATCTATCCTATTTTTTTACTGTTTATTATTCCAGATATGTTCATTTATCATATAACACGATAATATGAAAATTGCTCCATTTCTTCGAAATTAATTTCTTCTTATAATTAACTAAAAATATTCTGTATATAAAGTATTTTTTATTTTGTTTAGACACTTTTTTATTTTATACATCAAATGACACAATTTTTGAATAATACTAAATTATGTCAATGTCATTGTACCTAAATTAAATTTTATATTTTTAGTTGTGGTAATGTAAACTTTGCAAAACGTTTATCCTGCAATCGTTGTGGCAAAGGTAAAGTACAAGGATATATTTTAACTTGTAAAACAAGAATTAATAAATTTTTTGCATAATATCAGAACGAGGAGAATGTCCAAAAAAAAAGAAGCTTGGTCAAGAAATTGGTAAAGCTGCAGCTGAAAAAAGTAGAGGATTATTTAGGTATAGTTTTATATGTATATTTCATTTTTAATGAAAGAAAATACTAACAGTTCAACATAACTTTTTTAGTGCTGATGATTGGCAATGTAACAAATGTGGTAATGTTAATTGGGCCCGTCGCCAGCAATGTAACATGTGCAATGCTCCTAAATTTGGTGATGTTGAAGAGAGAACTGGGTATGGTGGTGGTTATAATGATAGAGGTGTTGTTGAATATAAAGAACGAAGAGCTGATGATGATGATGAATATGATGAGTTTGGTAGAAGAAAAAAGAAGCGAAAAACTGAAAATCGTTCTGACGATGATTCGAAAGACTCATTTAAATATAGCAGTTCACCGAGAACTAAATTAAGAAATACTGATCAAAAAAGTGATGAGTTGAATAAAGAGGATGTCGGAGTTCATAAAAATAAATCAAAAAACACAGAGGTAATTTTGTGCTATGAAAAATTAAAATTTATGTTCCAAGTCCATAATCTGCAGCTCATAAAATAATGACATTTATTCATATTTGCTGTAGAATTTGTATTTTTAATTCTGTCTATTTTTGACTTTTTCAAAAAAGTAAAATTTACATTTTTTGCATATTTGGTCAAAATATAATTTTTTGTAATATTTTCTTTTTTGTAGATTTATTGCAATATAATTTAATCATTTTTTATGGAATCATAATGATGAAGAAGTTTAAAATTAAAATGATTTAATATTTTTTTTCTCTTTTATAGAAAAATTTCAAACATGAAGATGATAAAAGTGAAGAAAATGTAGAGGATGAAGGAGATGAAGAAGATGAAGAAGATGATGGAAGTGATGAAGATCTATCTAAGTATGATTTGAGTGAATGGGATGATCTTGCTGCTAATAAAAGGTATGTATATCTTATTAAATTTTTAACAAACGTTTTAATTGAAAAAATTATTCCAATATGCTTTAGCTCCAATGGAACATCTGAAAATTCACAGCCAAGGTAATGATAATAAAAATGTTAAATTGAAAAGATGTTAATCAGATAATTAATATTTTCGATTTTCAGATGAAATTAATAATTGGTAGTTAATATACATTGATTATAAAATTAATGGAGGAATAATTACAGTAGCAATCATCTGGACTAACTAAAGCAATCATTTTAACTCTTCTGCATTATTATATAATGTCAATTTCAATATATAATATTAGATACTGCATTGAAGTAATTAGTTAATTAGAAATTTGCACTACGTTCATCAATTCATTTAAGTTTGCAAATTATAATTAAATAGGTAATTCATGATTCTATTAGCAATACATGGAATTTGCACTTACACAAAGTTTTATTTGATAAACTTTTTGAATACAGTCTACCTAAAATTGTTGAATCCATGGTTTGTGCAAAATTGCTGTAGTTGATAATATCAAATTCAAGTCATCCACAAATATGAAGCACAATACATTATATTTAAATGAAATAAATACAAGTGTGTTTCAACAATTTATGTTTTGTAAATATCTTTATTTTAGTTTTAATAAAAATCATTCATCAACAAGTAATTGTTCTTATACAATAATATTTTCTTAATATTAATTTACACGCTATATGAATAATGTGTACATTCCGTTGTTTTTCGTAGGAATATTTGATTGTGTAGTCAAAAAGAGATTTAACCGTATGTAACGAAACTTTTTGTGATTGTGAGAAAATTGGTCATTTAAAAAATGATCCCTTCAAATCTCAAAAGAGTATAAAAAAGTAACGAGAGGATTTCGTTAAAAATTTTAAATAGGGTACACATATATATACTTTTTTTTAAATTTTGCGTTATATAATAATATATATATTTTTTTTATTACAAAAAAAAATATATATATGTAAATAATTCTTATGTGTCACAGATATTTACATTATGCTTTCAAGTTCGTTTTATTTAAGTATATGAGCATCAGACAAAAAGACACGAGATGACCTTTTAAATGAAGGCTTTAACAAAACCGCATTTCTTAAAAAATGTTAACTTCGGTAGTTACCACTTTATAGGCGTGCTTCTTGTTAATAATAATCTAAAAACGCAAATAATTGTGTAAATTTTCAACACGTTATTTTTCATTAAAATGAAATTTTGTTTTTAATTTGAAATTTAATTCCTCAATGTTTTTTGACGATTGCCAAGAGCTTTTCGACAGCTCACGATTTTTTTATTATACTATATCATCCATAGCGCGAGTGAGTATACTTCTTGTGCGCGTTGAGCGACATTGCGAAAGCCCAAATTCCTCTTAATCTATATGTACAGAAAACGTCAACTTTTACTATAAAGTATCTTTACAATTTTTCAAATATTCGAATTTTTCAATTATTCATTTTCATTCTCTCATGTACACTTACAATAAATAATCTCAAGTACAATCACTAGTTTTGCTTCATTTTCTTCGTTCCATGTTATTTTTAACTAACGTCTAGTAAAAATTTCCGTCCATTCAGGAAGCACCTCAGTTTTCATGCGGAACTTTCTCTTTACAGACATTAGCTGTACCGATCGTCGCAACGTAAAAATTAAACTTATTTATGTAGTAATAAATAAAAACGCAAAACTTTCGAGGTGCTTTGACAAAAGTCACATATCGAAGTATTACGCGTCAGTAGAGAAGTGCCTTTCGATCAAAAAGTTCTTAATCACGATATGAAAGATGCGTCTGTGTTTACAAATAAATTAAACATCGTCGTAATGAAATAAAAATATTTTACAGTATCGTGCTAAATTGCAAACACTTCTTTTCGATCGATGGGCACTTATCCACAGCAACGAGTTGTGAGCAACTGTAATTGACTCTATTTATGCAACACAATCACATGGATTTAGATGAAACGTTTCGTAAGGAGAACCAGCGACTACCGAACTCGTAGGCCTCTGCACAAGTGATTCATCAGCAAAACGTAACTCACAATAACAATGGCAACACTTCAACTAGTGCTTATTTCGGCATGAAAAATTGCTGCTGCTGGTTATGCATAGATCCTGGATGTCCGGAACCAGGTCCCGGTCCACCCTGCGGTCCGTTACTGGCCCCTCTAGTTCCTGTAGCATACAACTGCTGCTGAAAATTATGGAACTGCTGTGCATAATTTGGATCAGACATGTTAGGTCCACCTCCTATAAAAGGACTATTTTTGAAATTCGCTACAGGTCCAGCTCCTGCACCCATACTTGGGGGAAGAGGCTGTGTAGCATCAGGTGGCACAGGACCCATCTGACCCATTGGGTTTTGGTGTTGGAGTTTAGGACCTCCATACATCCCTGACGCTGAGTTGCCTGATTGTGGCCCAGGTCCCATCATGTCAGGATTGAACAATTTGTCCTGATCCATGGGATTACCTGGAAAAACTCCTCCGCCACCCATATGTTGCATTCGCATAAGATTCGGTTGCTGACGTATTTGCGGCCTCATGCCAGGATGCATTCCTGGAGCCGGACCGCCCATTCCTCCAGGACCAACTGGTCCTAATTGTTGGCCACCAGGTCCAGATCCACCACCCATACTTCCTGGAGGACCTTGTGGCATACTTCCATTAGGAAAATATGGTAAATTAACATTAGGTGAATTCATTTTATTTTCCATGTTGTTCATTGGATTTGGAAATCGTGGTAGAAAATCTAAGCTCGGCGGCCCTCTCGGGGGATGTCCAATGTTTGGCCTTGCAGGCAGATACTGAATTGTATTGGGTGCACTAGGCTTGACCTGAATATTTGCTCCATTATAAGGACCATGATGCATGTTATGCTGTCCAGAACCACCCATCATACCGGAACCTGGACCAGGTCCTCCAGCATAGCCAGCTCCAGGCACATTGACATTCATATTCACATTTCCGTGCATATTAGATCCTGGAGGTCCACCCATCATTCCATGAGGTCCCATACCCATAGAACCCATTTGGCTCATTTTATTTTGCATTCCTGGGCTGCCAGTATGTGAAGTTGGACTATAACTGGTCGCAGGACCGCCTAGTCCCATATTTATATTTGTTACATCGCTTAGTTCTCCACTAGGACCAGGTCCAGGTCCAGGGCCACTTGGTCCAGGACCCATGTGACAGCTTCCATTCAATTCATTTTGTTGCATTTGCTGAGGCATCATGTGCATGTTATGTGGAGGCTGATTGAATGACATCATTCCATGATGGTTGGCACCGTGCATCACCGAGTTTTCATTGTTGAGTGCACTATTATTCGTAGTATTCGTGAGTTGTTGACTCATTTGTGCAAGAGAACTAATGGGATCGAAGTTATTACTAGACATCGATCCAAAACCACCCATCCTGTTGCCAATATTGTTTGGATTCAAAGGAATATTATCATTCGTTTGATTCACATTTAAAGGAGCTCTGGGAGGACAAGCATAAGATACATTATTGCCTGGACCAGCCATTGATGGCATCATATTGTTTGGAATATTGCTTTGAGTTGTTGGACCAATATTTGAAACGTTTTGCTGTAGTTGTTGCTGTTGAAGCTCTTTCGACGTCGGTGATGTATCAATTTTGGTGTTGGGAGATGCAGGTACAGTTCGAGGAGGGCCCATACCCATATCTGCAAGGGCGGCATTATGTGATGCAGGGCTGCTTTGAGCACTGGTATTTTTGTTGCCAGTTTTGGTAGTATCAATATTAGGCGTATGTGGTGCTACACTTCCTGGCGTGTGAGGTGTATGGGGCGTATGTGGACTATGGCCGAAACCCCTATTTGAGCCAGGACTTGCTCCTTCTGATTGAGATGCATAAGGGTTATTATTGTTTCCACCATTACCAGATCCAACTCCAGAACCATCAATGTTCCCACCAGATAACATTCTATTATTCATTTCAGAATTGATATTGCCCGAATGATTTCTAAAAGTCAAATTAATTTTTTTTAAAGTGTACTTAATAATATAAATAGAATTGTGATTTATGTTGGTACTTACGTAGGCATGCTACTTCCGTCTTTAACAGTAGTGTTAGGTTGTTTTTGTATCGTTAATTCTTGCCCTTCAAAAGTCGTTAAGTACGATATTTGTTGGGGGCTTGGAACAGGCATCAATTCTTTAGGTCCATTTGGATTACCAGCTGGTTTTTGTGGTGCCATGGATGGTAATGATCGAAACATTCCATCAACTAAAGGCAATAAATTATGAAATAATTAGTTAAAAATGGTTCTTAACAGTAATTGTTTTAATGATTCTAATACATTTTTGTAACATTTAAATATTAAATCCTCATTAATTTTTAAAAATATAACAGTACTAAGTAATTATGCTCTTTGATTATTATTTACTTATTACTTTATTGTTTTATTCCTGGGACAAGGGGGTACAACCACATACAGCTCCAAAGCAAATTACAGAAATTAAGTGAAATTTAATTTTTATCGATATGAAGAATTGCAATATGAACCAAAGGCGAGCAGCTCGGAAAATTATTGAATAAGTTTATATAAATTAGTTGCCTACTAGCATTTTACACGTTTTCCAAATGATATTTATTGGGAAACGAATTTTAAATTGATGTATCGAAGAACACCAAAATTTGTAGTTCTGTATAGGGGTAGAGTGATAATGTTCTTTTTAAAAAATATTGTATTCAATTTTTTTTCCATGCTGTACAATTTTAACTGCAGGAGTATGGGGGCAAAACCTATAGTTATTCAAGATAAATGCGCTACGCACTTTCAGAAGTCGACATCAAAATTCACATTGTTTTGGCAATTTTATGAATTTACTTTAATACTTCAAAATTGAGCAAGTAAGAAGAACAATAATAAAAAAGACTTACTGCTAGAAGATTGATTCGTTGGAAAATCAAGTGAGCTTGAATCTTTTTGAGGTGTTCCTGAAGGACTAGGAGCAGTTGCAAGATGATTGTGTGATAATGGGGTTCCTGGATTACTATGATTGATTCTCGTTGGTGCTACTCCAGCTGGTGAATCTTGACTGGTTGGACTTTGACCTTGCAAATGAGTTCCAGAAACTCCTGTAGACGACCTTTGACTACCAGGGGCTTGAGTTGTAGCAGATCCCCCACTACCTAGTTGGAATTGTCTATTGCAATCTGCAGGTGAATTTAGAGCTGAACTTGCTCTTGGGGATGGAAGTGACAAATTGCTGGTGGGGTTATTAGGAGACACTGGATTTGGACTCTGAATAGCAATTGGCACACTGGCTGATCGTGTAGTTTGATGATAAGGTGGTGGTGGTCCTTGACTTCGTGGTCCTCCTGGGGGTCCAACAATAGGGCCGCTATTTGTTATATTTCCACTTACACTATTTGGACCACCAACTATACCACCACCGCCAATATTTCTAATAGGCATTCCTGGACTTCTAAGATTTGTCTAAACAATGATTAAGAAATATTTAATTGCAGCTATTACTAATAAATATAAAAAAATGTAATTATCAAAACAAACTTTGTGGCTTTGAAGGGGTTGTGATTTTTGCCAATCTTGTGGTGGGTATTGATTTTGACCACTAACAGGTGGTAAATTGTTCATTGGATTTGGACCCGTTAGATTTTGCGCATTATTCCCTTGTGTTGACTCCATTTGCATTCCTCCATTTCCTCCCATTAACATCTCACCAAGTTTGTTAAGAGCATTAAGTTGCTCTTGTCGATGCTGCCGTTGTTCAGGAGTTAAATTTTCATCTGGAACTTTAACTCCTGCCAAAGAAGGTTGCACTAGTCTTCCTGATCCTGGACTCGTATTACCAATTAAATTGGTATTTGGATCTATCGTTGGACCACCAATAGGTTGGGCATTAGCTAAGAAAATAATTTACATGTTTTACAAAATGATTTTGAATAAATTAATAAATAAATTCAACATCTTTTAAAGCAATCATTGCATGTAAATACCTGCACTACTGGGAGAATTGGGCACAGGGCAAGGCACATTAATATTTGTATTATCTACTGCTGATTCAGGGTTTCCTATTGGATTATTGCCATTAATATTCTGGATATTAGATTGTTCATTCCAGAAAGCAGGATCAGATGATTCTAATCCTAATATATCTGGTGGTGCTTCATTGGCAAATGGTAAGTTTGAATTAATACCTTTTCGTTTGGAAGAATTAAAATTATTAATCCATTGATTTTGATTTTGCCTGAAGTTTATCATCTTATTGGGTAGTTTCTGTAAAAAAAATCGTACATTTGCAAATAATTTATAATAAAATATCTCATTCCAAAGAAGTTTTATATTACCTCCAAATACTTCTTAGTATTAGGCTGTGCCATATGATAAGCAATTATTGTATTGAATTGCCCTTGCATAACCATTTCTGCACCTTTATTAGCCATTTGTGTTGAAAAAACAAATATTTGACTTTGTTGCTGCATGTATTGAGCTTCACTGGTGTTAGAAACTCCAGATATTGGTTTATTTACATTCATCATCTGTGGGTTGATGTGGGTAGCATGTACTGCAATGGCTCCTATAGATTTAAATTTGTTTCAAATAAATAGTACTCTTTGTATATTAGAATAATTTCAATATTCATAATAAAGATAGAGCAAATGTAGTTCTACTAACCTGGCACAGGTTCAGACTTGATATAGGCTTCAGCCTCTGCTTTGATCGAATTGAGTATGTTTTGTTCACTAGGTGTACCATTTTGATTATCATCGCTAATAGAGGTTTTAGATGCTGACGATTCTGTTATACTGGGAGGTTCTAATAATGCATCTTGCAAACAATCTGTGGATAAATTCTCAGAGAGAACTTCTTCAGGATTCGCTATGGCTGTTTCATCTTTTAATTTGGTTCGCTTGGCATTAGGCTCCTCTTTAGCAATAGCTGGGGAAACGCAGCTAGGCTCACTAGACTTTTTCTCAGTCTTCATCTTTGCAGGTACTAACGAAGCAGCAGTTGAAGCAGTAACAGGAGTCAGCAACAACAGTAACAGATAAATGACAATTGTTCAAGCATGTTAGAGTTTAAAACAACAACACTTGACGTAAATCTGCGAACACTGCAGTTGGACAAAAAAATCCACTAAGAATCGTTGAATAACGATGGGGATTAGATCCCTGGAGGAGTCGCAGCATGGAGCGTCATGCACTCAGCTGTGACGCTAGCGCCCGGGTAGCTATTTGACCGTGTAGACAGACGATAGGGGCAAACGACGAGAGATTAGATCTGTTGCAGAAATAGGCCCACGAGGTAAGCGTCAACGCACTGAACAGTCAACATGAGTTAGACACAAAATGTGCCGCGAACTAGCAGCGAGCACGCACGTCGTAGAAGACAAGAGCGTATGTATGCGCGGATGCTGCTTTTTTATAAAACGTGCGCATCCGAGCGCCGACAAGAGTCTTTGCAGCGAGGAGAAGCAGAAACCGCTGAAGTAGTTTGTTTTTCGAGCTGGGAGCTGGATCGGGTCGTCTGCGGGTAGCCCAGCATCATCGACATAAGTAGCAGTAGCAGTAGGTAGCAGTCGTGGGTGCTGATACGGAATAGCAGCAGCAGGAACAGCAGCAGGAGCTACGGCGGCGGCAGCAGCAGCGGCAGCGGTAGCAGCAACAACTATAATGCATGCACAAGTTGATCGGAGTTTAGCACAGAGAAAGAGAGAGAGTATCAACACTAGCACTGGCCACTGGACGAAAGTCGAGAAAGAGAGCGGCACTATGGGTCGAAACGGTCGGGTTCGATTGCACTAGGCCTCGCACTCGCGATTTTCCACGCTGGGTTAGGAGTCTCGTTACATACGCGAGCGAATGTTCTGTGTATATACACGGTTCTAACGATATAGTTGCGGGCGCGAGAGGGAAAGCGCACTCTGGAGCCTCGAAGAAGCAGAGGCAGCGCGAAACGACTGAACGGCGTATACGCTGGTGTGCCACCAACACACGTATCTCGCGAGAGCTGCTGCTGCTGCTGCTGCTGCGAAAGCGAGACGGAGATAGTAGCGAGCGCAGATCTCTCGATTGCGCGTAGTAGTCGCAATTCCACTCACCGACACCAACACGCGCAAGCCAGTGTATGCAGCCACGACTACAGAGTACAGAGACGACGGTCGACGGATTGTATGTAGTTGCGCGCTTACACACACACACATCGATGCAGCAGCAAGCACGCATGCATGAGGACACTTACGGTGCCAAAGCTGAGTAGTGCGAGCGAATGTTTGCGAGAGATGCCACACTCACACTTTCACACGTATACGCGGCATCTATCTCTTACTTTCCTATAGGGCGCTCTGGCATGGCCTGCTGTGTGTACATAGGCGCTACTCGGAGTAGCTCGGAAGATTAGAGAAACACAGGAGACGCGGGCGCACCGAGTCCAAGAAGAATCGCCTCTTTCGTGTGCCCGCAACTCCGCATGCTATCTATTGCCCATAGCCTCCGTTTGCTATCTTATATACATATATTATGGTTCAACCAAAGTGTCAGGTGTCAGGTGGCAAAATGAACAAAACTCACTTGAAAGTTAATGATTGATTAATTTTAATTAACAAAGGTAGAAGAATAACAGTGAAAGTAATAAAAGGCTGGTTCGCAGCTTGCTGCCTTATCTCAGAGCGTCTGCCGCTTGCGGCCTTGCTCATCGCTCGCTCGAGCCTATCTCACCGTCGCGTATGCCGTCGGGCCTGAGGCCACCGCGCGAGGCGCCACTGGCGGGCAGCGCGTGCAACGCGTACACACACACATACGTGCGAGCTGAGGCTGTGTTATGCGAATCCATAACACATATATGCGAGCGGTCAGACTCAGAAATGGCTTTATGCGTATACATATACTTGCTCGCATGTGTGCTCTCACGTGTATTTGTGAGGCATAAGTAAGTATTGGTGTGCGTGCGATGGCACTGGCACCAAACTAGTTAGTTTCGTTCGAGAGGTGAGAATGATGAAGTCCGCTCGATGATTCGGCCAGAGAGAGAGAGAGTATGTATGCAAGGTAGAGAGAGAGAGACAGAGAGATCGCACGCAGGGGGGTCAGCAGCAGCTCGAGGAGGGGAGCACAAGGTGCCGCTGGTGGCGCTGCTCCTCGCTGATAATTTCGATACATATTCTCACCCTTGCCCCTCACCAAAGTCGCTCTGTGGCTGTCGCTCGTCGGACGCCATTATGTAGAGGGTATACCTATACATGTATAACACAGCCTGCAGCCGCAGCTTATATTATATGTGTCTCGCGGGCCGCCTGCTGCTACTGCCGTTTCCTGCTGCTCCCTCTCTTCCTCCCTCTTTTATACGTTTCTCACTTACTGAATGCTCGCCACACTGAATTCATCCACTGCATCTTATAGGCACCATATATAGACTATAAAAGAGCCATGCCTCGTACTACCCAATTCCGTACAAAAGAATTACCTATTGTACTTTCATTGCACGTTACGCATATACGTGTAAGAAATCCCGATTCATTTAGAAAACTTGCCGTAATATGCGCCGAATTGATGCTGCGTGCATGTCACACGTCGAGATTCGAGTCGAGATGCCTCGCGCGAACAAGATTCAGAGCGGGCGGGAGGTTCGCGCGGCGAATTAACATACGTATCGCTCTGCAAAAAAGATGAAAAGCATGGAATGACTCTGCCCCTGTGAAAATAACTATGTCAACCTGAAGTATGGAATGTTTCGTTTGCTCATTTTTTATGTAATACCGCGTCTCGATAGCTACGGTTCTCCTGCGCTCCTTTTCTCTCTCTCTCTCTCTTTTTATCCTACATACCACCTCTCGATAGCTAAGGTTCTCCGCGCTCCTTTTCTCTCTCTCTCTCCTTGGTTCGTTTCGTCCCTCGCATCCCGCGAACGTCGCCAACTTTAACCTGTTTACGCATTCATTCGATGTACGTTTTTGTCACCATCCTACTATAGCGTGTATGTCTATACACATACAAAAAATATATGACAACAAACACTTTTGCTCTTTCTTTCACATTTGCTCTTTCTTTCGCGTTTACTCTTTTTTTCACGTTTACTTTTTCTTAGGAATTCGAACTTTGAATGATATAATGTATATGATTTGAATACCTCGATTTACGAATCAACGCGATTTTCATCACAGAACATTCAAAAAATTTTAATTACCAAATAATCTTTCCATGCTGATCGATTATCACAATTAAGCTTCTAGTTTTGGGAGATCAATGCCAAGCATATCTTTGTCGTTTGATCCATATAATGCGTTAATGTATATTTTGGTAGATGTTTGAGAGTGATTGAAATCGACTATTTGCCAAAGATACTACTACTTGCTATAGAGAACGTCAAAAAGACTTATAGGGTAAATCTGTTAGTACCCTACTACATTTCACTTCTATATATATTATTTTGTCGTAAAAAATTCATAGCTGAACTTGAAAATTATCAAATGAGAAATTGGGCTACCCAGTAAAATGGTCAGTCCCCTGCAATAAACCATGAAATGTTCATTTAAGCTTTTATTTAATTTAAGAACGACCACACATATGCTTCCTTATTAATGATTTTTTGAAAAATATCTTCAGTTTTTTAAAGTGAAACTTTTTTGGGCACGTTCATGGATATGCGGGGAGGGAACACTTAAAAATCGCACGATGACGTGCGTGACGCACTATCATCGTGTATCGGTACACTCGAATCGGATTCAATATGTATTTGCGGGAGATTGAATTGAAAAATGCCCTCAAATTATAATAAATTAAACAAATTGGTAAATTAAAAATTAATACAAATGAAAAATAAATTTACTTTAAAATTCAAGTAAAAAATCAATAGGCAGCTGTTTAAGAACGGAAGCTATTATGTATTTAAGTTTGAACTAATAGTTTTGATTTCTTCCTTGTAAAAATGCATGATATATATTCTTGTGTTTCATATTATTATCTACACAATATTACACGCTACGCTACAATTTTGTTGCTCAAATTTGATAGTTTATAGATTTGAAAATACCAATTGACTATTGTAACGTTCATTTTTTCTAAAACAGATTATATGGAGCATTATACAAAACTAGTTACTGTAATTTTTAAATGTTTTTATTTAGTTTTATGAGAATCCGTTGACTCATTTTAAATATTATAAGTTTGTATTTTTTTTAATATGAAAATAAAATTTTTTCGAATGACATTAGTTTTTCAATATGTGATTCTTTCGAATATAATAAATATTTTGATTAAAACGATAAAAATTGTTGTCCTCGAAATATTTACACCTTTGTTGATATAATTGAGATGAAATAAATAAAACATAAAATTAAATTATCGTTTTGAATCAGATACTTGTTTTTGCCATTTTTTAAATCGAATTGATTGAAATTGCAACAGTCAAAATTACTTTTTTTAAATGCCACCGCCAGAGATAGTACAGACTTTCGCCACTAGAGTGCAGTTGCGAACATTAGCTGACTGTCTTAAACTCTGCGCCTGCGCAATGACGTTCGTTAGTCACCGCCGACAAGTGCGGTGCAGCATGAAAGAGCCCAGCTCATATCAGTTTACAAAGACTAGTCAGTAGCCGCTCCACCAACACCCGACCATCATCGGACTGACGCAGTGAGCTTAACAGTGTGCAGTACTACGCCACACCAGACGTGTCTCAGTCGCTCCACAGTGATCGACAAATTAGCTGTTGCTTTTATTATTGACAAGTTACTATATTAAGCAGCACTTATTAAAGCAAAAATGTCTTCTTTATCAAGGTAAATATTGTTCTTTAGTTTTACACATACCTTTTTTAGTTTAAATGGAGAGAAAAATGAAACATTGATGATTGTGCTTCATGTCATTTTGATTGAAATCAAATTATTTTTATAAACTGATACTGTTATTTTTTTGTTAACCTTCTATTGGGTTCTCATTGGGAGTCTTTTATTTTTATTATTATCTAATTTTTCATGCATCTATGTTACAATTTTTAAGGTTATGTTAAATGTTTCTAACGGTAATAGGGTTATAGACTAACTTATGGACTTATTTTTCATTGAGTAATATTGATTGAAAGTAAATTATTTTTACAAACTATATAGGGTAAAACACCTATTACTGTGCCCAAGACATAACCTTCAATTCCCTATTACTGAACATTTGATTACATGTTAAAATCCAGTAATATGGAGAGGCACAGTAATAGGTGTTTCACCCTAATTGCTGGTAAGATTTCATTAAAATCTTTTATTAATTCTTAATCACAACCCATAGTCAATGTGAATCATCACACTGAATTATTAAAATAAATTAAAAAAGTTTAGACAAAACTCCTAACTATATAGCAACTTTCTTAGTGAATTTCAAAAATTATTTTATTGATCAAATATCAAAACTTACGTGATCTTTAAGAAAGCTGTTAGTATGACGAGATAAAGCAAATCGACTTGTTCTCAGTTCTCATAAAGATCTTATGTATTTAGTAATTTTTCAAATTTAAAGAAGCTGCAAATCTTTATAAAGTATGTATTATAATATAAAGTAATTAAAAAGCAGTTCTCAAAAGAATTATTATAGTCTGATGTGAATAGATCTATTTTTTTACTCTAAATTTTTTCTTTTCAGTTTTTTGCCTCCTCCTACCCAAGTTACATGGGACAAAGATGATGAAGCAAGAGAGGCGAAGCTACGTCAAAGACCAGTTTCTGCCTTAGTAAAAGCTTGCATTTCTGCTCCACCCTATGGGGAACGCAAAAACTGGATACCACGCAATGAAGAAGATTATGGCGATGGTGGTGCTTTTCCAGAAATTCACGTCGCACAGTATCCCTTGGGGATGGGAATGAAAGGGAAGGATAGTTCGAGTAACGCTTTAGCCATTCAACTTGATGCTAGAGGAAAGGTCAAGTATGACCTTATAGCCAGACAGGGTCATGCCAAAGACAAAAAAGTCTACAGCACGTTGAAGGATTTAATTCCCATGGAAATTCATGCTGAAGATGACCCAAGTTTACAAAAGCCAAGTGCAGAAGAAGTAGAAGAATCTACAGAAGCTACGAAAAATGCCCTTGAAAAAATAATCAGCAATAAAATTGCTGCAGCTATGCCAGTAAGACGGGCTGAAAAATTGGGTCCAGCGCAGTACATCAGATACACACCATCTCAACAAGGCCAATCTTTTAACTCAGGAGCAAAGCAAAGAGTAATTAGAATGGTTGAGGCACAAGTAGACCCAATGGAACCACCAAAATTCAAAATTAACAAGAAGATTCCTCGAGGACCACCTTCACCTCCAGCCCCAGTTATGCACTCACCAACAAGAAAAGTTACCGTAAAAGAGCAAAAGGAATGGAAAATACCTCCTTGCATTAGTAACTGGAAAAATGCTAAAGGATATACCATCCCCCTTGACAAGCGTCTGGCTGCAGATGGTCGTGGACTTCAGCAAGTTCACATAAATGAGAACTTTGCCAAATTAGCAGAGGCTCTTTACATTGCGGACCGAAAGGCCAGAGAAGCTGTTGAGACTAGGGCTCAACTTGAGAAGAAATTGGCTCAAAAAGAAAAAGAGAAAAAAGAAGATCATTTGAGGCAGTTAGCTGAAAAAGCTAGAAATGAGCGAGCTGGATTAAAAACAGCAGCAAATCTAGATAAAAACGAGGAGATTTTAGAAAGAGAACAGTTGAGACAGGAAAGGCACAAAGAACGCACACGTGATCGAAATCTAGCTCGTGCTGCACCTGATAGGCGATCGCGCCTACAACGTGAAAGGGAGAGAGATGTTAGTGAACAAATTGCTTTAGGTTTGCCAGCAAAGAATGTAAATCTCACTGGTGATGCCTCGTTTGATCAGAGGCTCTTTAATACGCAGAAAGGAATGGACAGTGGTTATGCTCATGATGATGAGTATAATGTATATGACAAACCATGGAGGGATCAAAACTCTCTCGCAAATCATTTATATAGACCAAGCAAAAATTTGGATCAAGATAATTATGGAGCAGATCTTGAGAAATTGAAATCTACAAGCAGATTTGTTCCAGACAAAGAATTTAGTGGAACAGATAGAACTGGAAGTGCTAGATCTGGACCAGTTCAGTTTGAAAAAGAAGAAGAAGATCCATTTGGTTTGAGCAAATTTTTAAAACAAGCCAAAGGAGCCAGTAGTAGTGGAACTTCTTCTAAAAGGAAAGATGATGATAGAGATAAACGAGATAGTAAAAAAAGAAAACATTAGAAATAAAATTATAGTATAACTTGATCGTACTTTACTAATTTAAGTATATTATATTTACTAATTTAAGTATATTATAAAATCGGCAATAAGATTTTAATGTAAATATTTATAAAATAATTGAATAAAAAAAATTATTTTCATAAGTCTGTTCTATTTCATTTTTTTACCTTAATTGAAATTTCTAGTAATTTAGTTTTTATTGCATCCCAGTCGAAATGACTTTTCTATATAGTAAACAAAAAAATGAATAATCTGTCTAAGACCGAGAATAGATGAAGAAAAACAAGCAGTGTTACTAACCGGTAAATATATACTGTCGGTCAAATGCCTGTCAAGAATAATTCATATGTCAGTCGTCAGAACGATCTCGAGATCAGTGCACGTCGCTCGGGTTACCACGTGGGTTCATTCCGTAAATAAATCGCCATGCAGCCGGCAAAATTGAAAAAACCACCACCTGGTAAAACGTGGAAAGAAGTTAACAAAGAACGTAGGGAAAAACGTAAACAAAAGAACGAAGAACAATTGGTGAAAAAAGCGCGTGTCGAGGAAGAAATTAAAAAAAAGGAAGAAGAAAAAAAAATAAATGAGGTTAAAAAAGTTTCTACTTTGAGCATAGCTTTACCAGGATCAATTTTGGATAATGCTCAATCACCCGAATTGAGAGCTTATCTAGCTGGTCAAATTGCAAGAGCTGCCTGTATTTATAAAATTGATGAAGTCATAGTTTATGATGATAAGGGTGAAATTACCGAAGTGGAAAGAAAAAAAATGAAGAGGGATTGTACCCTAGGAGATGCAAGGCCTTGTTGCTTGCAATTAGGTAGAATACTTCAATATCTTGAATGTCCACAATATTTGAGGAAACATCTTTTCCCCATTCATAAAGATCTCCAGTATGCAGGACTTTTGAACCCTTTAGATGCTCCTCATCATCTCAGACAACAAGATGTATATATTTATAGAGAAGGAGTGATTACTAATAAACCTGTAAAAGCTGGAAAAGGATCTATGGTAATTACATGTGAATAATTCATTTTTAAATTATTTCATGCTTCATGATTGAAAAATTAGAAAATTTTTTAATTATTAAATAATTATTTATTTTACATCCAATATTATTTAAAATAAATATTTCTTCAATGAGACTAGTATTAAAATTTGTAACTTTATAGGTATATGTTGGACTACAAAACGATGTAAGAGTTGATGAAGTTTTGACAAGTGGTACACGAGTAACAGTGAAAATTCCAACTGAACAAGAGGATCCCAAGAAACCCCATGGAATCATTGTTTCTGCTGCAGTACCTAGAGCAGATACTGGAATTTACTGGGGATATTCAGTAAGACTAGCAGCCAATCTGAGTGAAGTTTTTGCCAAATGTCCTTATCGAGATGGCTATGAAATGTCCATTGGAACTTCGGACAAAGGAACACCAGTTGACAGTATAGCTCCAAAAAGTATAAAATACAAACATGCCTTAATAGTATTTGGAGGTTTGTCCGGTATTGAGAGTGCTGTTAAAGTTGATCCAAACATTAATGTAGATGATGCATCACTTGTATTTAACATGTATTTAAATACATGTCCTCTACAAGGATCAAGAACTATTAGAACAGAAGAAGCTATTTTGGTCACTCTTGCTGAATTGAGGACAAAGTTCAATCCAGAAGTTCCACCTCCGGATAATGCACAATTTAATCACGATCCAGAGCATTTGAATATTGACATTGAAAAAAAAACAAATTTGATACACGAAAACTTTTCTCAAAATAATTCTGAAGATTTTGAACCTAATGATTTTGAAAATTCAAATTGAAATGATTTTCAATTATCCAAAAAGAGTTTTTCGTAATAATATAGTTTATTTTGATATTTCAATCAAAAATAATAAATTTATTTAACATTTTTCCAAAACGTTATTTACAACAGATTTCATATTTTGAATAACTTTGGCAGAATCATTAGAATTTATTATTGCTGTACCAGATACAATCATATTAGCACCAGCCTGAAAAAAATGTATATATTATTTCATTCATTGTAAAACATTATCATCAATTAATTAAAACTAACAGAATGTGTTATACAAGTATTTTTGTACATATATAGAATTTTATGTTTTTTGACATTATAAACTGTTAAATTTTTAAATAAAATTAAATACAGTTTTAATATCATTAAGTTTACTCTTTATAATCCTTTCCTAAAAGTCTACTTAAATCTATCAAATGAGTGTATTCATGAAAAAAATTAATTACCTTTGCGCAAGCATCAATAGTATTTGGACCAACTCCGCCATCCACTTCAATATCAATATCTGGATAGTTTTCTCTTAACCAAGATACTTTTGGCATCATATTATCCATAAATTTTTGACCTCCCAAGCCTGGTTCAACTGTCATAACTAACACCATATCAGCTAAATCTATATAATCGGTGACAACTGAAACAGGTGTTCCAGGTTTCAAAGCTACACCTACCTTAGAAATAAAAAGGAAATAAAAAACCAAAGAATTTTATTTGAATTAATTTAATTCATAAATTTACTTACTTTCATACCAGCTTCTCTTACTTTACGACAGACCAATGAAACATTTGCTACAGGTTCTACATGAAAAGTAAATTGATCGGCTCCAGCATCTGCCATTTGTTCAATCCACTAGAATATTAAATTTGAATATTTAATTTATTTCTAAAACAAAGAATCAAAATAATAAATTTCATCTCACCGTTTCAGGCTCAGCAACCATCATATGTGTTTCAAAAAATGCATCCTTGATTTTCGATCTCAGACACTTGACCTCTTGTGATCCTAGAACTGTTCGTGGGACAAACTTGCCATCCATCACATCCAAATGAAGATAATCGGCACCATCATCCAACAATTTTTGCGTTACTTCAGCCAATCTTGATTGGTCCGCATTAAGGATAGATGGTCCTATTTTTGCTGTTACTTTACCCGGCATTTTTCTAATATTATGAAGAAATATCAAGAATAAAACTAAATGAAGCTCAAAAAATACTTAATATATATCAATATTTTTCTTTAAGATTGTAGCAAAGTTGTTAAGTCAAAAAACTGTTATTCTGCGTAGTATTGAGTTCTGTTAGTATTGAGTCTGATTGCCAACACAAGCAACGTCGCAACTTAATAACTCCCACCATGAACGTCTCGATAGATTATGAAATATCTTTCAACTACTCACATTATAGCGACTATTATTTTATGCAATTCTCTGAACTGTGAACTTTGAGTGGAGCCGGGATACACTAGTCTCGTTCTTAACCAGTGACATGTGTCGGCAGCACTGCATTCTATATGTTTCTCATAGCTCATTGGCTCGTGCGAGGCACACCGAAATTTGCGTTGAACAGTGAACTGTGAACTGCATATCGTCTGCTAGTTTTCGTGTATGTCAGCTAATGTGTTAGTTCATAAAAACGACTCAACCTAACCAAATATTAAACATTGCTGCATTGAATATAATCTTAAATATTTGAAATTGACATTAATTTTATGAAAAAATGGCTAATGCTCAGTTAGGATTAAAGTCCGGATTTCCGAGGGCTCATCTTGCTAACGGAATTGGTCGATTTGTAGGACAATTACAACGCGTAACATTGAAATTTTGTAAAAGTCACGGAGCAAGTCGTGGAATGCGGTATGCTTATATACTTATTTAAAAATCATCATATTCACAAAACACATTGCAATTAGATTCTGCTTTATCGTTAAACCTCATAAAACATTATCATTGCAACTATTTATGTCTAAGAAAGGAATAAATTGTGGCTCTTCTTTAACCTTCTGCAAAAAGCAAGCAAATAGAAATTATAAACATAAATTTTCTCATTGCAGTGATTTTATTGAAAACGATTTGGTTGATTATGCAAAATCAAATCCAGGAGTAGTTGTATATGTTAAACCTCGAAGACACAGAGGCCCTGTTATCAAAGCAGAATATCGTAAGTATTTTGATCATGTTCATAGCTTTGTATTTTTGGTTTTATAAATACAAATGTCAAACTTCAAATGGTTAACTTAATTTTTCAGTCAATGGAGAAACCCATTGGATATCTTGTCGACAATTCACAAGAGAGTGTGTAGTTAAACACATGGAACTTGTTAGAACACAATCACGTGATGGTTCTGCTATGAGACTACGTAAACTGTGGCATACAGAATTTCCATCTATTCAAGGTCCTTGGACTCCTTTCACATTTAGAGATCCAAAATTGAACATCACTGAGTTGCCTAATGTAAGTATTTATGAGTTTTTAACATTCATAAGAAATATGAATTTATAGGAAGATGGTAAACTGTATAAAATATTTGTAGAAAGAAGAAGGGGCATGTCCAAAATATGAACCCACAGCAACGGAAGAAATTATTAGATTATTCAAAGAACAACAATTAGAGGACAAAAGAGATCTTGAGGAAAAGCAATTAAAAAATTGATGTGAATAATTTTGCACTATTTTTAGTTATCGTTGATTTTTTTTCTAACATTGGTAGAATAAAGTTAAAAAAAGTTTTTAAAAAATAACAGTCTGTGGTTTTTATTATGCAGCCAATCAATACAAAATGAGTGACAAATGTTTAAAGAATCAAATTTAGCAATTATTGCATTATTGATACATTTTTTTATCCAGTATTTTAGCAATGTTTTACTCAATTTTCAAATCTTAAAATTAGTTAATTTAACTGAAATTGTTCCTATGACTTTTGTGTTATAATATACACTTTAAAATATCAACAACAAAATACTTCTGTATTAAAATTGATTTGATTTAATATTAACACCAAAGTTTGTTATAAAAAATATATCATGATTTTAAAAAAATATGTATCATTGTGTGCTTGCTTTATTACATACATCTTTAGAAATTTTTGTATAAACAGGCATGAATTTTGATAAAATACTTTTGGTTGGAAGTTATGAAAAATTAAATAAATGAGCACATTATTTCACTTCTACGTGTAAAAATAGTAAAATATAAAATTTGATTTTTGGTTGCGATGGTAACAAAATATAGCAACAAAAAGTTTTGAATTAATCTAATATTAAAAAAGATTTAATGCTCATTGACAATGAGTAAGTATGAAAAACAATATATTTGCTAATCTTTAATAATAAAATACCTTTTCAGGCATCATATGGAGAAATCTTTTTTAAATGACTATGAATTAATGATAATTCATAGTGATTTTAGACCTCTAAACTGTTTTAGAATAGTCTAAAAGAATGAATAAAAAATATTTAAAATATATTATATTCATAAAAAACACACTTTTGAAACAGTCGTAAATTATGTGCACTGAACAATCAGTCTCTTACACTAGTTCAATCAAAACTTTCACAAATATCTTTCACAGCTTATACAGTATTTTTAATTACACATAATATTCAATAAAGTTCATTGAAATTAACTGCCAAGCAGTTGAATAGAATGAGCTTCAAAATTGAAACCATTTTACAGTCTTAAAATTTCCAATAAAAACTGCACTAAACTTTTATTCAACTTTTAATCTTCTACTAAATTCCTCTTGCTGCTTTTCCCGCCATTCTTTTTTAGGCTTCATTCTTTTAAGTTGTCCATCCCTTAAAAAAAAAAAAAAAATACAAAATAAAATATAATTTTCTAATGTCCAATGATAATTTTCATTCATGTATACCATTGAAGATCAACAAGTCCTCCTTGTCGTGCAATAACTGACTTGACTCTATTGGCAAAATCAATAGCACTTTCATCCTCTTTTCTGTACATAGGGGGTAAATACCAAACATCACAAACAATTGCCCAACTTGACATCATCATGTACAAGTATTGAATCATAGAATATTTGCTGCTATTCCAAAATGCATCTCCAAATCTTGGATCATACTAAAAATAAAGTTATAAATTTGTTATTAAATATGACTCTTTATCCACACTCCTCATTAATTACCTTTATGGCGACAGGATAAATGACACCACCAACTTCAAAGCTACCTTTTTTGAATTGCATAACTGAAGTATTATTAATGCAAGTTCCTTCCGGAAAAATAAGTATAGGAGGATTTTTTGGATCGGAAATGTGCAATTTTAACCTATTGCATAATAGTAGAATTAAAAAAAAACATTATTACTTATTTATATTAAATAGATATTTCAATTATTAAAAATATATACCTTTTAGCCACTGCTTCTCTGTCTTTGATTTCTGATCTTTCAAACCAAATATGAGGTGATGCTCGAGCTAGTGCTCTTTGTAAAATACCTAAAAATCCCCCATGTCTTTGACCGATCTATGGGTATTGAAAAAAATATTAAAGTATATAAAAAATATGAGACTAATTTATAGAGAATTTTTTTTAAAGGACTAAAGATTTTTTGAGTTATCACTGATTTTTAAGTAGTATAAAATAAGAAAGTAAAAGCATGATAAAATACAAAAAACTTTTAAGAAGTGTTTTAAGAAACAAAACTATTATGATGTCTATTGATCATGAAATTATTTATAGTTTAAATTGAAAATAATATGAATAATTGTAAAAATAGTGCATATACAATTAACAGAACTACTGATTCAAATATCTTATTTTTGAAATTTTTAGAAAAATAATTATAAAACTGAATAAAGATCAACTTACAGATATTTATAAAAAGGAAAAAAAGAGCATTTCATAATTGAATAAATTAAAGTAATAACATAAATCTGTTTAACTATTGTAAAGATAACAGGTAAAATTTTAAAAGATACTATTTTAAAAATATTATTAAGATAGGATTGATCAGTGAAGCTTAGCATTTTTATAGGGTATTCCTGCTAGTAACCGACAACTGTGAGCTATTATTTAAATAGATAGTGATTAAATTTTATGCAATAAAATTTGTTCTTGTTTTTTTAAATATTATTTTTTTAGAAAAAATTATTGCGAAACTTGGAAATTATTAAATAAGAAATCAAGCAACTTATAAACTGGACTATTTACGTTTTTTAGTGTTAATTATTATTTTCAAAATATTGACAAATTTTTTTCGGACAAGTGAAACCACAACTGAAAACACAAAAGTGCAAACTTTGCAATTATTAATTTTCTGAAGCCACTTTTACTCTTTGGGGTTTTTAGAAGCATGAACCCTTTCAAAAAGTTCTTGTTTTCAGTATTTTTTTCAATTACTCGGACACTAGCAGGTTTACCCTTAACAATGCAAATAAAAGCAAGTGGCAAAGCTTGCAGCATAGTTTACTTAAGCATGGAAAAATAATGAATGCACATGTCTAGGGAATCAAGCAACAATTTTTATGATAGCAAACGAATTAATTTGAAAGTGAGCAAAAAAGAACAAGACAAGACGTTTTAAAAAGCATTTACCAGAGAATAGCAATTGTGACACATGAGAACAAGAGCATCAATGGGCGATGTGTGATTGGCAACACAAATACCGGTCTTCGGCTTGTTCTCAACATTGTGATAAGTAATGACCGAAGACAGAGCACTCGACAGCACCGCGAAACACATTATCAGGACACGTTGGTTGAGCCAACGCTTGAATTCGCTGTCCGGCATGTAACCTACTATCGCCGTGCAGAATGTCAGCCACATTACCTGTACATCATATAGACACCATATTTATTATAGAATTTTATCTTCATTTTTGCAAATTTTTTTCATCATTTTTCATCGTCATCTTCTCAGGTATGGTCTCGTTGCTATTTATCTATAAACGTTCATGACATTCGCTATTATTAAGATCATGATTAATACAGTCTATCTGAATATTTTTGACCAGCTTTGATAAAAAAATGTCTATATACAAAATATATTGTCTCATTTTAGAGTAAAGTCATTACAAAACTTTTTAATTCGGGGATAAAAATTGAATGTTTCAATCACGTATTGTGTCGACTAGATATTCGATATTAATGAAAACCTGACATGAATGCTCTAATAAGGCGAAAAAAGACAAACACTTCACATATGAGTTTATAGTTATAAATAAATGAAGTGTCCATTCAGACACAAATTGAATACGAAAAAAAGGATATTTTTTGATTTTTGTGTAAGAAATTAATGTTTTACAGAAAAACATAAAATCATTTAAACTTTTTTTAAATGAAAAGGAATTTTGGTGAACTAAATTTCGTATCCAGTTTTTGCCTGAATAGCCAGACCCATTTGTCCAACATCTATAGTATGCAGTCTGTATGATTTGATTTTGTCAATTAATGGTGAAAGTCAGTTAATCCCAAAAATTCACTCGGACATAACAATGTTTAATTATGTTATCCAGGATAACTTGTCACACTATAAAAATGCAAATTTAATGTTGGTTGAAGCATATTTTATGCTTGTTAGATAATTTCTTTACCAAAGAGAATGTCGTGTCCGTCGATAAGATACACACGTCAATAGTTGATGTGTGATTAGCAACGCAAATACCACCTGTCTTCGGCTTAAATTCAGGATTGTGAATGTCTATTTGGGCAGACAAACCTGCGGCCATAATCCGGAAAAAAATACGGGACGTAATATCATTGACCCAACGTTTCAGCTTGTAACTCGGCAAAAAGCCTATGCTAAACGTTGTTAGCAGGATGAAACACATCTAAGAGTTTTCTTGTTATTATTATTTTGTTGTCATCATTGTAGTCAAACGCATAAAAAAATCTTGTCATCAATATAAAATTCAAAATTTGCTTACGATAAGAAAAAAAATTAATTACATGTGAAGAAATATAATATATACTTGTTAGAACTTACACCAACAAAGCAGATGAAAATCCTCAACGGTAAGAGAAAGCAATATCTCATGAAAAATCCGCAAACCCAAATTACAGTTAATTTCCACGAAATAAATTCATAGCGCCTATTCGTACGTGTTAGAAGATTCCAGTTCTGTAAATATAATCAAATATTTTTTAATGTCATAAAAAAGTTGCAAGAACTAGTTATAAAATATTACTAAATATTCTGACCTTGAGTTCTTCAGCTTCGAATCTAGATGTCACATCGTCTTCGATGATTGATTCAATACCAGCTCGTATGTAATCCAAACAAATGGCAGGTTCAAATTCTCGCTTTAACGTTTCGAATGATTTTTTCCGTGATATGTCAGTCTGAAAAAAAAGAATAAATCCATTTAATTTCTCCATTTAAAATTTGTTATTACAATATTAAGCATTTTATGTACCTCCTTACTCGCACTTAATTGAGTAACTCTTTCATTTTTGATCGGTTCAATTTCTTTAGCGTCTGATTTTGGTTCCTCCACAGTTTTTTCATTGTTTTGTGTTGTTTGATCTATTGGTACGAGTACTAGATCCGTGGAACGAGCGATGACAGAATTACCAAGTGACCCATTTTGGGACTTTTTTTCTTTGTCCGTTGGTTCTTTGTTAGATTTAGGATTTGTAGGAGATTCACTTCCTTCATCTTCACTATCTCCTCCATCAACCTCCCACGTTCCATTACGTTTCTTAACGTGTTCAATATTTTGACGCCCGTACTGAAATATTTTAAAAATATTATTAATGATGCATATTCAGTATTGTAAAAATAGTATTTTACTACTGGGATAATAAGACAAATATTAATAGATTATAAGTATTAAATTGATAAAATTAATTCAGCCTCAATTCGCACTCGTATCGATTGCTCACTAAATTTTCTTTTAAAGTTGAAAAGCAACGAATTATTTTGAAATTTCTTTAAAGAAATTTTGATGCAATTTTTAATTGGTTTTTTTTTTAAATAATATATTTTTGATTACATATGCTTACAATTTTTAATTGAAATTTTTTCGAATGCCACACGATAATTTATAGCTTCACACGTTCAATGTTTAAAGATAATAAAAATTTCGTTTTTACGTTATCCAGCATGACTTGCAACTCCAATAGTTTTTTTAACGCTAGGCAAAAAGTATCCTTATAATATTGCGACCGTCACAATGAAATGCTTCTTTTCATATTGGATAATGATATATACACAGATTCCTCACAAAAGATTCAATAATAATGATGATTATTCAAAAGAATCACGAACGTCCTATGATATTGGTTGTCTATCGAGTTATTAATATTTTTTTTGTAAATTACAACAATTCTTATTAAGTAAATCTTCATATAATCACTGATAACGTTAAAAGTATCAAAAGAATAACAGATTTTATATAGGCACGAAAATATTTTTTAGAGTTACCATCACGCAAGTATTTTTTTTGCAATGAATCCACTTTGTGAGAAATACAAATATTACAGGAAAAATCTGAAGAAGAATGTACTTCGAAAATAAGTTTCGAAATCGTCCAAAACGATTGAAATAAAAGATAACTATGAGTAGCTAAACCGTAGTACCGGTTCAAGTAAACCATTGGAAAGCATTGCAATTGAGGGAGACAAAATTTTAGAGTAAAGAGCCAACTGCATGGAAAATGTTACCAAAATGTTGTTTATATTGTTTATGCAATCAAAGGCTCAACGATAATTATTAATACTGTAAACCATGATAAAAGAGAATGAGCCATCTTTGTTCCGCAATGCAATTATTCCACACGATGATCGAATTATCGAGTACACACATGCAAAGAGTGACTATATACACATATACATCCGTATATAATACATAAGATCGCGTACAGCGCATGTCATGCCGTCATGGCTTTTTTTATAACACGTGCTGCTGCTTATACACATCCGAGTGATTGGCAAAACTATGAAGCAATCCGAGCTAAAAAAACATCAAATATGAAAAGCTCCAGCGTCTCACAGTATGATTTGCCTCATAAACTTTCATGCATCACGTGCAACGAACGTCTTTAAAAAGATGCAAAATTTCTCTCCATTGAGACACGTATGAAATTCGTATATAGGTAAACCGGCAAATTACGAATTTTAATCGATGAATATTCGAGACATTTCGAAACGACCAGGTGACGGCAAGGGGCCGTGGTTTACTTTTTCTGGAACTTAGTGGATCGGCTCTTTTTGCTCGTATTGGCTTATACAGTGATTCATCTTTCGCGAATGAATTGATTTTAGACTTTCGGAGGTGGCCTACGGTACACGCATGAGCTAATTCGCGCATACATATATGAGTCGGCATTATTTTTCTTCGCCTTTTGATTCGTAAAAAACACGCGGACAATACAATGAAGTGAGCACTCTTCTTGCTGCACTCTTATAAACAAAGTGATTAACATGTAAACGTGCCCATTTCATCATATTTAAATTATCTATTTGCATAGTGCTCGGCGCATCAAACATGTATACTCTATGCGCGCACCGATTAACAACGAGCCATGTCAACGTTTTTTCCATTAGATTTGGCTGATAAGATGAAATGATTTTATCCGAATCTCTTTTAGTATCGGAAACTGATATAAACGTGTCTAAGAAAAGCTTTGCTGCGTATGTGCAATGTATTTAAGACATTCAGTTAAATAGTGCCGATATCACGCAATTAAACGTGATTATGTTTATGCTAAGCGAGCATTTAAATGCTTTACATGTGCTGGTCAGTTCAAGTTCACGTGGAAAATTTGGACACGAAACGTATACCTACGTAATTCCAACAAAATTCGTTCATCATCTCGTTTTTTTATCTTATCAAAATAGACGTACAAGTCAATCGAGATAACGTTTTCCATTTGATGCCGAGTAAATTGTCTCATTTGAAAATTAGCTCATTATAAATCGAAAATATAATCGAAACAGAATCTGCTGTAAATTTGGATTTAAATTGAACACTTTGAACACTTTTTTACAAAAAAATAACGTTGTTTCAATATTTTTAATGCATCGATCGATTAATTTATTTAAAACTCGAACGAATCTTTTCATTTCCCTATTTCAGTTCATTCAAATTGCAAAATATTTTTATATTCTTTTTTTTTTACATTCAACACTTGTAAAATCAATAAACAAATGGGAAGATTAAACAAAAAAAAAAAAACAAATCAATTTTCGTAAAATTTCTAAGTGGCGATAATTCAAATTACTTCAAACGTATTTTAAAAACAAGAAAGCAAATAATTTTCGAACGTATTTACGAATTAACGAGAAAGTTACGATTATATTTTGTGCATGATATTGCACTTTTATATCGCGTTACATATACAGGCGAATCGAGCTTGAAATACATCCAAACGGAGAGGAGAAAAGAGCGAAACTGTTGCATGTACTGGACAGCTGATCGCTCTTGCCGAAAGTCAAAGCATGGCTTTGGCAGCGGAACGATTTGCGAGCGACGAGAGCGGCGTGAATTTTTTAGAGCTTTTCTGCCGACCAGTGGCCAAGTATCCTATTGGCCGCAACCGAGCGCCTCGGGCGCAAACTATACTTGCAAGCTGCTGCTGCTGTGCCATATAGCCACTCGGCACAGCTACAAAATCACTCTTTTTTGCCCGTTCTAATTATCCCGCATGCGAGTGAAGACTCGCGAGGCTAAGCTCACTAAGGTCGCAGATGCAATCCGTAATAAACACGCGCAGCAGCCACGTAGACGTGCAAATAACAGAATAACTTACAAGTTTATCTGCCAGCATAATTATCTGCTGAACATTTGGCTACTTGGCTTTGTTGAAAATTCAAGTCTAATGAAGGCATCTGCGATTCCATGAATTCGCATCTATTATTATTTGAACACGATTGACAGGTAAAATGGCTAACCTAACTCAATGTCGGATAAAAAAAATCGACGTTAAAAACACCCGCTCGAATAGCGAAGAAGAAGCACAGTAAGCAAGTGCGGATTTCCAATCGGATTTAAAGGATTAAGGGCAGACGGTCATGGTTATGGACAGAATGTTTTCAATGAAAGTTCTAACTAACCTCGAAGAGTGCAAGGAGTAGTTTTATGTAGAGCCTTCTGACACCGAGCGATTTACCCATCGATGCGAGGAATATGACCGACAGCAGCATCATGAGAAGCGGCGTAAAGAGCATGGAAAAGCCCACCGAGACGATGGACAAGAGCACACCCATTTTGGCCGTGTATGTGTGGTTGCACTGGAATCCGGAGTAAAGAGCCCAAAACACTGGCTCAAAGTTCAAGGCTCCGCGTGTGCGAGTCCAGCAGTAGCGGAGCAGTTATAGCAGTAGCAAATTTCACTGGCTACGCGCACAAGTACTCGAGTCGCGGGGGAAATAAGAGAGCTGCTAGCGGATCGCCAGTTTGGCGTTGATAAGTCGTTGGCTTCTCGCAACGAAGTCACGCACACACACACTGACACACTGAAAAATCTCGACGGGGCACGAAAACGTGCGTACACTATTTCGACTGCGTAGGCAGTCGAGGCGCGCACTTGACGAGATTCTCACTACTGACAATCGACTTTCGCTCTGGCCTGACGATTCTTGAGAAATTCGGTCTGCACCGCAGACCAGCAGCAGCAGCTGTCTCCGAGTAGGACTCGAGTAATATGTAAGAGCTTGCAGTCGCTGCTGCAATAGCGACTCGCGTCCAATAATCCAAATGGAAATTGGCCTCGTGGAAACGCAGCTGAATGAGTATAGGCCAATTGAGCGAGCAGAAAGTGCGCTCGGCCTACTACTACCATATACCTACAGCGTAATAACAATCGGGCAGCGTGTCGTGTGCGCGTGCTGGCGCGATTGGCGAACGGCCGTGTAGCAGCAGCAGCAGCCGAGGAATCGCTCAGGATGGGAGCCGACTGCTCGCAGTCAGCACTGACTCGCTGCTCGCTCGGTGGCGCGCGGGATACGCGCAGAAATTAGGCATATGTATATAAGTGAGTATACGCGCGCGCCTGATTCGTCGACGGCTTCGGGCGACTCCGATTCGATATCAGTCGTGGCAGCGTACGAGTGCGTACACTAGCGCTATTTCTCCTTCCATCGCGCTAGGCGCGCTATTCGCGACTCGAATACTTGTATGTATCGGAGAGCTTCGATTACTCGCTGAGCTATCCGTATTGCCTAGACGCGGTCCAATATTATTTCTACTATATCCGATCGTGTACACTATATGCTGCACACACACTGTAGACTAGAACCTCGTCGTGTAACGAAGTCACGACTAACGAGCACACGTACCATAGTCATCAGATAGACACTGCTCTCAGGCACGAGATATATATATCTGCTCGCGCAATACGTAACGACGTAATCACTTTTGCGATAATACTACGTACTGCACTCGCGCGCGACAACGATCTTCCGACGTTCCGTCATTCCGCGAGCTGTCGGTTATCTCGCGACTTCGCAGGTGCTAATGAGCTGACGCTTGCGCGCGCCTCGCGTTGACCAGCCACCGCCAGCTTCAGCTGCAGTCTGTTGCTCGACGCTCACTGAGTCACTATACTCTACTCGGCTGCAGTCGAACTCGCTTCTATTATGCACATATACAGCACAGCTGCCGCGGTATATAGGTATACCTGATACCGGCACACACGCAGGCAGCAGCCAACGATCCCAGCCCGCGTTTGAACTTTTTCGCGCCAAACGCTTGGGCGCAGCGACTCGTGCGTGCTTACGCGGCGTGGCACATTCTTACGCTGACACATCTTCGTCTTCATTCATGATTTCAATGAAATAGGATTTCAATTTACATTTAGGGTATCGATTTAATGCAAATAATGCGACAACTACACTTGTTAACGGAAAAATGCATGCTAAAACAACTGCATTCGAATGTTGGGTGTAAATGAAACTCGTTTGGTTCATAGACATAAAAATCTTTTCATCTATCTTTCAGGTACATTTTTAGCAATATGTCGGAAAGTCGAATCTGACAGTAGAACTGTAGCTCTAGAGAGAAATGAATTCTCAAAGGGTTGATTGGGGTATTCCGTTCGTATGATCGCTTTGAGCAATTATTCATCTGAAAATTGTTATTTTCAGATCAACGAACATCGAACTGAAAAAAAAAGCTCGACTTTGACCTTCCTTCTATCAATGAGCTCGATAGCGCGCTTTTCAAAACAGCTCAAACTTATTAAAAAATAGAATTAGTAGCAGCTCGAGCTGCAATTTCCAGTGTCAGTTGATCCAGCATCAGCTGTAACTTGTTTGTAGTCGCGCCCCCTCTTTGCTCCGCATTTCCGTGGTCGTTTGACAGGGAATAGCACAAATTCGAACGTATGTACATACGAACTGCGGCTCTGCGATAGCAGATAGGGCGGGACAGAGACAACGGTTTAAGGCTGCGACTACATAGGCGCCGAAGAGCTAAAAATTCTTCGCTGCGATTGACCAACTGCAAAAAAAGATTAAAGTTTCAAGAGAATGGTGCATCGAAATTTGAATGTAAAGCTAAGCTGAAATTAAAAAAAAATTTTCGCAGTTGGTCAATCGCAGCGAAGAATTTTTATCTCGTCCGCGCCCATGTAGCCAGAGCCTAAACGTATTAATCGGAGCGAATGCGGACGGTGTTAGCGTGCTGGCGTGTAAGTTCAAAAGTGCGAACTATCACATCAGCGGAGCCCACGTTTGCGAAAGCAGCGCGCCAGCGGGCAAGCACAGAAATCAAGCAGCGTTTCGTGGGTTTGGCGTGCGACTTATACAATATCGGCATCGACGGCATCAGCGACGAAAGAAAACTAGTTGGCAGAGACGGCACACGGCGGCGGCGGCGGCAGCGGCCATATACTTACGGCATAGAAGCGCTTCAGGCCGAGGCAGTGCTTTCTCGACGTACGTCGTGTATAGTACGTATATAATAAAACTCTACTGCATTTTCAGTAGTAGCAACATATAGATGAGCGCAGTATTTGATCGAATAAGCGAATTCTCATAGCGAGCGACGAGCCTGACCTACCGTGTGTAATTTGTGTATGTATTTATATATTATTCTCCTCCTATATTTACATATCTACAGGCATAGAGCATACTGCTTGTTGCTATATATATGCGGCGCATTATATGGCAGTAAGCAGCCAATAATATACACGAGTGCGTGCGAGTGCCCATATAGCTATACCATATATAACGTTTGGTTTAATAGAAAGAGAAAATTGCAAAGCGTCGCGCGGCGCTTTGGTAGCAGCAGCAGCAGCAGCAGCAGCAGCGCAGCACCAGGCAGCAGGCAATTGCAGCAGCACTCAACAGATTAAGGCATTGAGTGAGGTGTGGCCAACAGCCGCGGGCAGCCATCTTATAAGCCTGTTGTTCTACACCCTGTCGGCCTCGCCGTGGCAACAGGTAAATAAAGCATCCTTAGATACGTCCACCCCCGTAGCCCCGAGCCCCAAGTGGCAGCCACGATCGAGAGCTCCATCGCCCAACACGACTATACTCACCCTGTTAGATATCCGGGCGTGTGCTCTCGACCGTGCGGCCAGATCATCTTGACTTCGCTATTGTGGTTATCTTGTTCGCGATTCGACCGACTGAACGACCATCTCGTATTTTTTCTCTCTCCTCTCTCTCTCTCTCTCTTTCTCTCACACTCACACTCACACTCGCAAACTCACTCGCTCACTCACTCCTCTTCGTCATGAGTTATATATCTAATAAATATATAATCTAGCTATCTGTGGCTTTCTCTGTTTTACAATCACGCATGATTCGAGCTTGTCAACATCGTCATCGGCGTCATAGTCCGTCACACCCCTAAACTATGACCTAGTACAATTAAGTCATCATCATCAACTGGTCTATCGTTGACATCATCTGCACTTTCGTCGATAAGCATTTCTGGCCGATGGTCGGCCTTAGTTGGTTAGCAAAGCCCTTTTTGTCCTTAAGTTCTTTAATCAACGATATAGTCATTTAAAGCCTCATCGGCGTCGTCGCTGTTGATTCGCGTCCACGTCGCGGCCCATATTTATTAGTTATTACTCATCTTGTACATTCACACAGGCGCAAAATACATAGACAGGCACGTTAAAGCGAACACACACACGCGCGCGCGTGTGTATGGTATATGTATGTTTCTCATTTTATTCAGTCACAGTAGCTGCATCGTCTTGTGTATTATAACCGTGTCATCGTCATCACTTTAGTACTATCACTGTTGGAACTTGTAGGACTAAACCGAATTCCGTATACGTTATTTGAACAGCGCATTATTCGGTCTCTCTTCTCTATAGTTTATGCCGAGCGTACGTATAATTTTGGACAAGTATTTGGCGTGCAAATCCGAGCCTTCAATTCTCTCTCTCTCTCTCTCTCTCTTTCGTTTCGAGTATACCTATCTGTATCTGTGTGTATATGTGACTTATACGTCCGTGTGTGCTCTTGCCTCGCCAAGTATAAATGCTAAATGTTTGTCTGAAAGTATATGTGTGTTCGCACGAGTTTGTGTGCGTACGTCTTATAGGTGCGACTCACTCAGTAAAAAAAAAGAAAAATGGAAAGTAAGAACGAAAGCAATACCCTGCGATGCAAAACGAAAAATTATATAAAATGTGACAGAGAGCACAAACTTATTGTTTGTAAAAATCAAGATAAAATTCTTATTCCTGAGTGTATTGCTTCTTGTTGAAAAATGCGAAGAAAAACATTTTAACCTTGCTTTTTCTTACTTATTCTTTCAAATATTTTCTTGTGAAAATCAAATTGTAAAGAATTTTCCTTTGAATACAATGTAAATCGCTCAAATTTGCGATAACCACTGATACAACAGGTACATTGTGTCAATGGCCTTTGACCCTCTATGCTGCAAACATATCTATATCTAAGATACCTACTTCGTGCAAATCTGTCATGTGCTGTTGCAGTGAGCATCTTGTATGTATGTATGTGTTTGCTGGGCACGTATGTCAATTGGCTTCTCTTTAAGACTTTACTGATGTGCTTATATTCAAAGAACAAGGTGTTAGACCTTTTTAAAAGCACAACTAACTTTACAGAATTATATGATCCAAATACTATTAGAATTAATTTTAGAATCAAATTTGAACCTCTTAACAACAGCACTAGCAGTTTTAGAATTACTCTGAACTAAACACTTGTAAAAATGTCTCTTTCAATAATGTGTATACACTTTTCAATTTGCACCATTTGTGCACTCTTAAAATTAAAATGTGTGTAGCTATTTTCCAATTATTATATAAATTCAATTTTGATATTTCACTTTCATTTTACTTGTACTTTTGACTAATAGTAGAGTCAATAAGGTGGCAGTTAGTCTTTTAAATTGATGATATTTACTTTGACTTTTGTTTCAATTTTAAAAGGCTCTGTGTGTTGCAAGATCTGACCACTCTAGTATGTAATGCATAATTCAACTAGAGATGAGGCTGTAAGCGAGAGGGTGGGAAACAGACTGAGAAAAAGCATTCGAAAGATGGGGTGCATAATAAGTACACCCAGATCAGATGATTTGGAACATACTGGCTCAGGTATGATTCTGTTCAATCTTCTTTCATAGAAAGCTTACCAAGTGCCAGCTACATCCTCAGGATCATACTAGATTTCCCTGGTTATTTTTTATTAAGTACAATAGATGGTAGTTCTTCATAGGGTACATTCCTTACCTACAAGCAGATATCATTTGTTGTGTATTTAAAATAAAGTCGATAGTCTAATCAAATCTTTAAATTATTGGTTTTTTTCAGTGACTCATTTTTACAAAAATCACCTAGATAAAATGATAAATTTCAATGAAATACTCATTTTTCCAAATGCACTCTTCTTAACTAACTATTTCAAAACAATAACTTGATATTTTTATTTTAATACTTTTACTATGAAATGTCTTTCACCTGATCAATTTACAATCCTTCATCATGCAACTGTGAGAAATCAAACATTTTTTTACATTTCCTATCTTATCACAGTTACAGATAAAGATAACAAAGTCTATGAGTTGAGAATTCATGCTATTACATTTGTCAATGTCAGACATTTGTACTATAGGACACATTAATTAACATTAGACTGCAGGCAAGAAAGTATTGGCGCATAATATTTTTGATTACGCATTCACTATATATTTCTTTTGAGCTGAGATTTAAAAATCAGTAGTTTCACAAGATACTTTTTAAGTATACATTCTGTACTCACCTTTTACTAGAGTATTTGAAAATTTTTACTATGAAAAAAATTCTTGTCAAGACATTGAAAAGAAGCTTTGTTTCAAAGATATAAAATAGTATTGATGATGATAAATTATTTTACAGTACTTTTTAACAATTTCATATTATTAGATTATTGCAGAATTAGTTGATAGTATGCTAGATCTATAAGCTAAACTTTTTATAATTTTCTTGTACAGATTATATGAGTTAACGTAAAAAATTTGAATAGTTAGCATAGATATTCAACATCAATTATGTGCTAAAATATGCAGTGTGAATTTATGCTATTGTAAATGATTGTTTATAATATAATTTTAATGTTTTAGGATTCATGGCTGCTATCAGAAAGAAACTTGTGATTGTTGGTGATGGTGCCTGTGGTAAAACTTGCTTGTTGATTGTATTCAGCAAGGATCAATTCCCAGAGGTCTATGTACCCACCGTATTTGAAAATTATGTAGCAGATATTGAAGTTGATGGCAAACAAGTAAGTAAACAATAAATGAATAATTAAGTATCTATTACTACACATTAAAGTTATTTTTTTTTCATTTTACTTATCAATCAATATGTTATTACAGGTTGAACTTGCCTTATGGGATACTGCAGGGCAAGAAGATTATGATCGACTGCGTCCTCTTTCATACCCTGACACAGATGTTATCTTGATGTGTTTTTCAATTGATAGTCCTGACTCCCTTGAGAACATTCCAGAAAAATGGACTCCAGAGGTCAAGCATTTTTGCCCAAATGTACCAATTATTTTAGTTGGTAACAAAAAAGATCTGCGTAATGATCCTAGCACTATCAAGGAACTCAATAAAATGAAGCAGGAGCCAGTCAAACCTGAAGAAGGTCGTGCCATGGCTGAAAAAATCAATGCCTTTGCCTACCTTGAGTGCTCAGCTAAAAGCAAGGAAGGTGTAAGGGAAGTCTTTGAAACAGCTACCAGAGCTGCATTACAGGTAAAAAATATTTATGATTAGCTACACTGTAAATAGAAATGTTATTTTAAGTTTGAAATATGGTATTAATAACTATTTTGAAATTTTAGGTTAAGAAGAAGAAGAAGGGAAGGTGTAGGTTGCTTTAAGGTGTCACGCCAAACAAGCCCGATATGAATCGGTGAATTAAGAAATTGCGGGGTTAGCTATACCAAAAAGCTAGTTGTCATGCTTATGCCCCTGCATCAACTATATCATAATATCTTATCTTTAATTATTTTACATAATAAAAACAAACGAAAAAGGATAAAAGTGAAGTGAAAGAAGAAACAAAACCATACAATCTCAACAGCAGCAGCAGCAGCAGCAATATGCTCAGACACGCGAGGCGCAAATATTTCGCATCTCGACAGATTTAACTGAAGAAAAAAAACTTGATAAAAACTATTTGATATATTGTAACTATTGCTTGTGACTTCACTCTTTGTATAAGCAGCTGTTACATTTATGTATTCCGAATCATCCTCTTACCATTTGGCATTGACAGCCAAATAAGTTTTTGTAACACTTTGAAACTCCAGTTATACACTTGTAAAGTAAGGACAGATCAAAGGAGAACTTGAATGTTTAAAAAGTTTCGAAAGCTTTTCAAAAAAATTTTATAAGGTCCTTGCCTTTTGTGTAAGACCTGATTGCTAAAATACGTTATTTTCTCGGATACATAAATGGCCATTGGAGCTGTATATGTCGATTAGACCTTTTTTACTTTTAATTAAACTGATCTTTCGACAAACTGGCAGCTTTTATTGTAACAATCTAACAAAAACAGAGTAGTTTTTTATTATATCTATTTTTTGCAAATTTGTTAACTATTAACGCTATATGGAAAACCTGAATGTTTCGTAAATCAATGATGGTTATTGAGAAAAAATCGTAAAAATAGACTGCAGATTGTATAAAGTATATACATATTTTTATTCTTGTTCGGATATCATTACATAAAACGCGTGTCCGTGCTAATTATTAGTTCTCTTTTTTATACTTTAATAAACCTTTCGCTATATATAAAAACTTGAGCGAACTATTCATAAAATTAGTTTTCATTTAATCACTGTGCAAAGAGAAATCTATACACATCATGTTTGCAGAAAAACTATTTATATATTTTTCATAATTTGAAAATATTTTATTGAAGTCGAATAAAATGGTTATTATAAAATGCTGTTTATAAAAAACTTTCATTAAAAAAAATATATCCCTATTTTAATGGTGAACTGTATTTTTGCCTAAAAATAATTGGGCAAAGACTATTTTATAAACAGTATTTTTTAACTCATGTCAGAAAGATTCCCTACATTTTTCCACTTTCATTATCCAAATAAAATATGACAAAATTTAATTTTGAATAAAACAAGCATATTTGAGATGTCTACTGAAATTTCCACCAAAATCTTTGAATTTAAAAAATTTGTCCATTACATTATGATGAAAAAATTCTTCACAAAATGCTAATCTGATATGAAACAAATGTTAATCGAAAACAAAAGTTAATAAAATCAGAAGGGTAAAATTAGTTAAATATAATATCGTTGGACAATTATTTTCGCTTTGATTTTTAACTTGCGATTTCTTATTGTTATTCTTGTTACAATCACAATAGAAATCTTGAGACAGTAACTTTATCGTTTCCAATTGAATCATTTAATTAGTTTACAGATTTTGGAAATATTTGCATAAATTAACGTATAGTATATAACATTTTAAAATTTTTAGATGCAAGTCATTAATTTCGTTTTCCTAATTTTTATAATTTAGAAGAATAAAATTCACTTTTATATTGATAGACCGATGAAGACAGGGACTGAAAAAATCTTAAAAAATGAACGTTTAATTGATATTTCTATTGACTAGTCTCGTATTGTTTTTTGGAGATTAAACTGTCAAAAAGACGATAAGGTTTTTAATCTGCATATATAAAGAAGAACAAAAACCCACTGATATTTTTTGACAATCGACATTAAATCTTACAGGTACAGGACAATTGCAAGTCAAATTTACTTTCGAATGATGCTGCGTTAGTCATTTGAGTTGACAGAGAGCTACGAGGATGGCTGAATAACTCATAATTGATTTATAGCGCCTTTATTTAGATATAGAATGGTCATTGCAAACTCGTTTTTACACTGTGTCGGCGCAGCAGCGACGACTTGCATGAGATGAGCGAGATATACATTTTCAAGTAAGCGTGACTAAGCTTTACTTCATGAACGAGCTTGAGCACTGAGCTCGAAGCTGAGAGTGTCAGCGAGCCCATGTGTGCTGTGGCCTGTGTATGATCGCGAATTCCCTACTGCTCGTAGAGAAATCAGTGCGCTGGCGCTACTTTGCTTAGTAGTGTCTCGTGTGCGTCGCTCGGCCTTTTGAAACTATCTCAATGATCGAGCTTAATAAAAAGCAATCTGCATCCTTCATCAATTTGACCTCTGAGCCCAGTCACAGCAGGCGCACTGGCAAAAACTGCCGTGCAGTCGACCAAAGTATTAACAGACTATCTAAATTTTAATTCGTAACCGAGTTTTTGTTTAGTTTCTTCGAAACGCACCTGTTAAAACTCACCCGTAGATAATATACATTGAATCCGTAAGCATGTCTGAGAACGTCAACCCTGTCAAGTACTTCCTGAGTGGAGGATTCGGTGGAGTATGCACCGTCCTCGCAGGTCATCCTCTTGATACGATCAAAGTAAGGTTATGATGCTTGACTTAAGTTTTTATATTTAATTTTATTTATTTAACTTATTTTTACGTAACTCATATATTGAGTATTTTATTTTATTATAAAGATTTATAATTTTTACTTTTGACAGGTACGGCTGCAAACCATGCCAATCCCTGGTCCAAATGAAAAACCACTATATGCTGGTACTTTGGATTGCGCTAAAAAAACTTTAGCAAAAGAAGGTGTAAGAGGATTTTACAAAGGTATAGAAATAATTTTGTGTATTTTTCATTCAAATCTTATTCATATGACATTCTTGATTAACAGGTATGGCAGCACCTCTCGTTGGAGTTGCTCCAATTTTTGCTATGAGCTTTTTAGGTTTTGGCATTGGTAAGAAGCTGCAACAAAAAGATCCAAATGAAAAGCTCAGTGAGCTCCAACTATTTTATGCTGGAGCGTTTAGTGGAATATTCACAACAGTTATTATGGCTCCAGGAGAGCGTATCAAGTGTCTTCTGCAAATACAGGCATCAGAAGCTAAACCAAAGTACAGTGGTCCCACAGACTGTGTAAAACAATTGTACAGGGAAGGTGGTTTGAGAAGTATTTTCAAAGGTTCATGCGCTACTTTGTTAAGAGGTCAGTAGATTATTTATTTCTTTTTGCTTCAATTTTCCATTTGGCTAGTGATATTTATGTACCAATGCTTTCAAGACTAACTAACTGTCTTAACACGTAAATTTCTTGAAATTTTCAAGTGTTTCTTTTTTAGTTTATGTTTAATGTTCTTGCACTCTAATGCACCTGTTCTTAAAGCATAAAATACACCCCGATTCCTTAATGATGTTGGTGTTGAACACCTGGGTGCCATTCCTTTGACTAGATGAACCTAGAATTTAGTTAACTTAATTTATTAATGAAAAATTAGATTAAAATATTTTATTCAACTATTTATATACCAAATTGAAATTCCATGATAGCATGTCACAGTTGCAATCCCAAGGATTTCTATTTAATAAGATACTTTCAACTTTGATGTGTTTTGAAGGAAGATGTAACAATTTAAAAAAGTCTTGAGGCAATGTAAATAGCTTATTTCCAGTCAAAATTATTTTTTTGAGATTAGGCTGCTGTTGAGCAGAAAATAATCCTTTTGGAATATTCTTTAAGTTATTATGAGATAAATCAATTTGATTTATACTCTTTAAACCATAAAAAGCATCCATTGAAATTGATGTTAATTGACAGTGGCTTAAATCTAAATTTATTAAATTATCTAAATCTACAAATGCATCAAATTCTATACTCGAAATTACTCCTCTCAATTTCAAATCGGTCAATAATGGCATTCCATAAAATACAAATCTTTCTAAAACGGGTATATCTAAATCATAAACAGATAATATCTGCAAATTTTTCAAACCAAGAAATGCATTTTTTTCTAGCTTTAGTGCAGAGCCTCCAATTTTCAGTCGAGAGGTTTTATTCATAATTTCGAAGGAACTAAAAAAAGTGGCAACAAATAAAAATTTAATTTTTCTTAGAAAATAATCTTTAGATAAAATCATCTGATACTCACTTTGGAAATATTGATATAAGAGGATTATCTCCAAAATCAGCAGATATTAAGGTTGGAAATGGTGGAAGTGAAACCTCCGAAAGAAATGTCAAATTATTTTTACTCAAATCGAGTTTTTCAAGTACTAGAAGTCCTGCTAAATCCACGCTTGTTAACGATAAAAGTTCATTATTGGCGAGTGATAAAATCCTCAAGTTCGGGGTGCCATAGAAGCAAAATTCTGGAATGAATTTTAAATTGTTTTTTTGCAATGATAAATACTTGAGATTGTCAAGGCCATCAAACATGTGCCAAGTAATATCTTTGAGAGCACAATCATTTACACGCAGATGTGTCAACGCCCTGAGTTCTGTAAAGAGCCCCGATGACAGTCGATAGCCTTCGATCTCTTGCTTGTAAATATCGTAAGGTAATATTTCTTTTTCGTCATTGTTCGTCAAGAAAATTAGACGGTGTCTTGTTTGGTTCGATTGATAAATAAAAGACGAGTCCGTTTTGGGTTGAACTGGTTTCACCACAAGATTTGCTTTTTTTCTCTCTTTTACTGTGAGCCGAGTTAACTCTACTCGTTCGAGATTTAAAAAAAGTAACTTATTAGCCAAGGGAAGAAGCGTATCTGCTGATAATACGATTCCTCTTTTTTCATCTTCATATTCTGATATTCTATTCGAGCTAACACGATCGCTGTTTGATAGTCCTTGAATATCGAGGGATATTAAATCATTAAACAATTCGACATCACTAGATTGGATTATTAATTTTGATTCTCTAGCTTCTGATTCCAAAATAGTTAAAATCTAAAAGTAATTATTCATTTAGCTTTTATTTATTTGAATTGATTCAATATAATAAAATGTATTATCAAAACCTGAACGTCGACAGGTACTGATGATAAAAGCTTCCGAGGATTTTTCGCAACGAGACACGTTACAGATTTGAAAAGATCATTTGATAATGGGTCTTTGATATCCACATGATAGAGTGACTCTTCCTAGAAACAAATCGAAATTTATACGTTATATTATAGTATTTCTTGGTTTCCTTAACAACTTATTACTATTTTAATAATAAATTATTTAGCTCAAACCTATTTCGATGGTTTGAAAGTAATTTTTTTTAAAAAATCGATAATGTACCTGATAATCATGAGTTGAATTAATCCAATGATGCAAAGACAATTCAGCATACGGTAAGATCTCACAAGAACAGTCACGGGGACAGTTAACTTTCCAAACCTTTTTAACGTCGTCAACTTTTGTTGAACAACAGACCTGAAATGAAAGACACTATTCTTTATGAAAATTTAATTTAATTGGTATAAACCTTTATCTATATTATTACTGTTATCAATAACAGCCTGAATAAAATGGAAAAATTACAATCCATGATCAATCATTTATTTTCCAATGATTGATCTTCACTTTAAGGATTAATTTTGACCACTTGGTAGTCTCTTGCAATAGGCCAAAATGAACTGAGTTTCGTTGAATTTTATCTGCATGCTGTGCTTTATTGATATCAGTAAAACGCAGGATGCGTAAATTTATCTATTCAGTTCACTTGATGCATGCTGTTTAAAACATAAGTTGGTACAAAAATACTGTTTACGATTAAAAAAAAATTTAAACAATTTTTTTATTTCAGATGTACCTGCCAGTGGGGTTTATTTTACTACCTACGAAGTGATACAAAGAGCTCTTAAATCGGAGGACGGAAAATTATCGTTATTATCAACCATTACTGCCGGAGGTTGTGCAGGAATAGCCAATTGGATCATCGGAATGCCGCCTGATGTTTTAAAATCTCGCCTTCAAACTGGTACGTACTCTTTTATATCGTTCATAAGAATTCATATTGATATGAAGCGTGAAATTTTTAAAGTATTAATTGCATAATATTAATTGGTTTTTCAAATCAAAACAACAGTTCGATAAAAAATATTCGACATAATTTCAGTTATTACTATTAGTCACGTAAATAAAATTTGTTTAATTTTTACAGCACCTGAAGGAACCTACAAAAAAGGAGTTCGAGAGGTTTTTGTACAACTCATGAAAAATGAGGGTCCAGCAGCTTTATACAAGGGTGTAGTTCCAGTTATGTTACGAGCTTTTCCCGCAAACGCAGCTTGCTTTTTAGGTTTTGAGGTAGCAAAGAATTTCTTAGATTGGGTTGCTCCGAATATGTAAAGGCAGGCATTGTTTAAATTCTACATGCTTTAATTGACTTTTGATATATTTATGTTTGTCAAATTTTATGACAGATCGATACAATGTTTTTACATCAACCTTTGATGGATGATATATAGTTAGCATTTAAATTTGCCTATATTAGGATCATGAGATTTAACTTATTTTAGTCAAGTATTTTTTACCATTTTATTGCCGTGCTGATTATTAAAAAATTCACTTCGGTATTCAATTAAAAGTAGTACCAATTGATTTTTGTTCTTTTATATTTAAAATATGTTACACCAGTTACTTTTTAGTAAAATTGTACTAATTGACTCATGTATAAAAAATTAACTACTTTTTTAACGCTGGAACAAAAAAATTAATACTGACTAAAATTTTAATCAAACAAAAGTTTTAAAAACGATGAATGAAAAGGAATGAAAACTGTGCAATGAAAAACTTCTACTGGTTGGTTATAAAGCTTTATCACATGCTGATGCTATAGTCATCATCATAGATTAGGTAATTAATATTTTATTTTAGAAATATCAATTGTTTCGTGATGGGTAAATGGATAATTAAATTTTTGAATTGGTTTATTTTTTTATACGAATTTTTTATTCTTACTTTAGATTTTAGAAGTTGTGTACATTTGTAAAAGTTGGTGTTTTACACCAAGATTGTAATTTATTTTCAAAAGTAAGATAAAGTTCTGGGATGGGTTGCTCGACTGGTCAAGCAATAATATAAAAATGTTATTATACAAGATATAAACTCATATTGTGATTTTCTTCGCCTTTGTATCATATAATATGACTGCCATTAAGGTGAAAATCACGCGTAAAGCACAAAGGAATTGCCTAAGATATTGTATACAATTTATAAGACTAAATGTTATAAAAAAAATAAAAGTATTTTAATAAATTAAGTTTATGTACAATTATTTGGCAGAATCTAACACTTCAATATCAATATTCATTTATTCTTCCCAAGCTTCATCATCTTGAGATTCACTAGTAGCTGAATTTCTATCCGATGCAGATGCTTCATTAGGTTTTGGAGGAGGTGGAATCATGCTTGAAAGTCTTGATAAAACATTACTAGATGAATTTGCAATACCTTTACGCCTTAAAGCTAAAGTGGCGTGTAAATCAGCCATCAAATCACCCTCAACTGATGCAGAAGCCCAACGGTCTTTTGACTTATCTGCAGAGTCTATCGGTTTTAGTTTTGATCTTCCACCAGCGTTGCGAATTGCTGCCATTAAATTGCTTCGATCATCTGCTGAAGCTATTGGAGTTGAAACTTTTTTTGGCTTTTTCTTTGAAATTGTCTCTTCTTCTTCATCTGACGATGTTAATGGAGGAGGAGGTGGTGGAGGTGGTGGTGGAGGAGGTGGTACAATTTTAGCAGGCAGACTTGGTAATTTTGGTAAATTATGCAAGGTAGATTCTGTTACAATTGGAATTGAAGGTTCATTGGTCGATGAAGGTGCAGTTGAAGGATCATTTTGGTTTAGAGAAGTTTTATCTGCTTCTTTTGACTCTTCATTTATAGTTGATACATTTTTCCCTTTTATTGATGGAGATTCTATTAAACTTGAGATATTTGAGTCAAGCATAAATTGCTCATCATCGACAATACCTGGTAAATCGGGCAGTGTCAAAGGTATATCTAAATGTGGTACCTGATGCAAAAAAATGCAGTAATTAATAATTCATACACAGAATAATTATTTTCAAAAATTTTAATGGAATCATAATTTTATTAATTACCTCTCCTACTGTTGGAGTATATAAATAAGAGGATGAAGATTCTAATTCTGATGCATGCCAAGGTTGAGAAATAGAATCTGGAGCATCTTCAATTTGGTTATCATTACTTATTGACTGTGTGTCATTTTGACTTTTTGTATCTTGTTCATTAAAAATCAATAAAGAATCGACTGAGGTCACTTTGGGTTTTGATGAATTGTCATTTTTTGTGTCTTTTAAAAGTTTTGATTTTACAAAATAAAATTGTAATTTTTCATTTTTACTGCTATTTGAATAATGCAAATTTTCTTCCTTTCTGTGCATAGTCGTTGGTGTATCAGAGATTGGTACAGGACTTTTATAAGCTTCATATTTATTAGGTTCTTTCCTAGATTTTGGTTGTACAGCTAAGTTATAATCTTTGTATACATGAGCAGCAGGATATTTTGATGCAGAATATAATTTGATAGCTGTCTTATTAAGATTATTTTTCATATATTGTAACTTTCCTTGTACAGTCGTAGCTCTTGATTTTATATCTGAAAGTCTACTCATTTCATACTTATTAGGCTAAATATATTAATTAAAATTAATATTTTTTAACATTAATACTTTTTACCTGCTGATATTTTTGTTAATTCTCTGATTTAATGAATCAAAAATATGAGTTACTGCAAAATTCAAATCATCAAGAACTTCAGCAATCTGTACAATAGTTTCTTCATGCCTCAAATCTTGAGGAATTACAGCTAAAAATATTGTACCATGTATAGTTCATTCAATATGGTGTTTAAAATTATAATATAAAAATTAGATAATTAAAATGTTTACTCACATATCTCAATTCTTTCAGGCATTTTACTAAAATGTAGTGTTTTAATTTTTTTGAATTTTTATTTTTTAATTTTAATATCAAATTATTGTTGCCTTTTCATATTTACTATATTATTAACATTCAATGAAATAATAATTTAGCAAATAAACAGAATTTGATCGGTACGAGGTTAAGGTTTCTTTCCTTATGTCATTGATCTTTCAGTTTTCATACATACATAACATACTCCAATACCTACATATGGATATAGTACACAACTTGAAGGTGTCACTTACAACACAACACTTAATATGAAATTTGATTTGATAAGTCAAAATGTTCTATCAAACATCTTTTCTTTGAATTTCTTTCTTATCACTGATTGCTACAGATACTCATGATAATTAAATACATTTTTTTATTGAACATTAAATAAAATATTTTTTTATTAACTTTTTTTCAATCAATTGTGTTGATGTTGTGATTAAATCTGATTATTATATAACAAATAAAAATTATAATGCAATGTTTTATATTTGAAAAATACCAGTTTATTAAAAAATATATTTCAAAAACATTTACAGACTAGCCTGTAATTTTCTAAAAATATAAGTGTCATTTAAATAAGTTGTAAAATATTCCGGAAATTCTCTATGATTAACAATCTCTAAAAATATATCAAAAGCAATGGCAAGCTTTATTTTTGTAAATTCATCAACTCCATATTGATTGGATAAAGATTCATAAACATTTGTTGCTTCTTTAAAAACAAGTTTTCTAGTAATTATCTTTTCAGTATTCTCTATTACAACGCTGTGTCTAATCCATTGCCATATCTGAGCTCTTGATATTTCAGCAGTTGCTGAATCTTCAATAGCTCCTTTAAATTCAAAAATACCTTTGCCACACAACCAATTGAAAATAAAAAGAATTGCAATTGTTATGTTATCTTTTAATCCTGCTTCAGTAATTTTTCCATGTGGTAAAGTAAGTAAATCAGATTCTGTTATTTTTTCTGAAGATCCAAAATAATGTAATTGATTAGAGTATACTCCAAATTTCATCCATAGGTTGTTGACAATATCTACAAGCTTCAAATCATATATAATAAATCCATCAACTCCTGCACTCATTTCAAATAACTTTTTTTCAGTAATATTTTGCACAATGTCATCAAAATCAGTACTTTCTTTTGGTGGTAAAAGTTTAGCTACCATGCCACCCGTTGCATGAGCATTTCTTTTGTGGCAAGTTCTTACAACAAGATCCATGTACTTTTTGAGGAATGGTTTTGTCATATCTACATACATGTTTCGATCAGGTATAATGAATGATGCATCATCTCCAAACTTGGATATTATAGAGGCGGTATAGTCCCAAACACCGCAGTTTAGACCAAGTGAATGATCCTTCAATTCATACAATATTTGGTCTAATTCAAAAGAAGACAAAATATTTTCAATGAGAACGCAAGCTTTGATAGTTCCATAGGGAATGCGCAATCTTGATTGACTCCAAGTGAAAATTTCATTCCACAATTTGGCTTCTGATGCACCTTCCAATTTTGGTAAGTAAAAAAATGGTCCAGAATCACATTGAGCAAGAATATTACCAGTATGATAAATTAATAGACCAAAATCGAACAAAGGGCCAGGAATTTCTTTCCCATTAATACTCATATTATGTTCAATCATATTCCAAGCTCTGGGTCGAAATATTAGAACTGGAGCATCAGCTATTTTAGGGACGTTCGGAATTTGATCGTGAACGACCCGATAAATATTGTACAGTCCAAAAATTTGATTTTTCCATGTTGGGCAATGTCCGTCATCGAAATCAACTTGAATTCCTTCGACCTTAGCTTTTAAAGCTGAAGTAAAATGTATGTAGTCACTAGGACTGACGTCACCAAGATCAACGGTACGATTTTGAAGTCTGTGATCTAGATAAGACAGGTTTTTTTAATCATCAATTTTTACACCTGTTTGATTTGTAAATAAATTTATTTGAAACTCACTAACTGGAGCTACCTTCCAATCATCAGTAGAATTACTAGACTCGAAAAATCTTGGGATTTTGCGCACTTTCTTCTGTATGAACTTTCTTTCAAGTCTTGTCAAATATAAATCATTAACTTTATCTTGAAACTTTATGGTAAGTTCTATTAAAAATTTAATTGCATCAGCTGTCAATAACAAATGAAACTCTTGTTCAAGTCCAGCTGGCGAAGGACTTAAAAATACATTATAATGATCAGCCAATTTGTCGTTCATTTTAATGAGACTATTTTTTAATATATTCACGCGTGTCTACCCGCTCAAAGAGTCGTGAAATACTGGTAGTCGAGATAAGCGCTTTTGACGAAAGAACGAATGTTTATGAAGCTGATAAGCTGTGTGCAACGTTGCTAAAAATTAGCATTTGCGCACAGAAAAGATGATACGATTGAATAATTATATGCGTTTGGATATGTCCTTGGCGTTTTCTTTTCCATCTGCAATTCGCGAACCAAATTGAAAAGCTCGTTTCGGTAATTTTGAAGCTTCGTTCAGTCCAATTTTTCGCGCCAATAAACGTAACAGGAGCTTATCACCTAGTCCTGGTGGGAAGTTTTCACTAGGGCAACATCTGAAAATTAAACAGTTGACTTATTATTCAAAAAATGCTGAAATCATTGGTAAAAATCAAAATGTTGAATTAGTTTTTTTAGAGCTACATAGAATATTTTTTTGAAATTTTCAAAGTGTTAGCTTTTATTCTACTGTTTTAAATGAAACAATGAAACAATTTAGTAAAAATTTCAATTGAATATTCTGAAAATTTGTTTGCAATCGCGATACTTAAAATTAAAATCTTTCAACATTCTCATTTAAAACAATTTTAAAACTTCCAAGGATAATCAAAATTTTAATAATAAAATTTGACATCCACACAGTACATACAAAATATCTAAAATTTTTCCATATAGTTTAATAATAACTTTTTTTATATTAAAATAATACATTACCTTTCCCAAGGAGGTAATCTTTGAACAAAGGTAACTAAATCTTCATCCAAGTAAGGTAATCTTGATTGTCTGCCATGATCAGCAACCATTCTGTCATCTCGGCCTAAATTTCTTTCTGAAATCCTTGCAAATTCAAGTTTCAATTCATCTGTCAGAGCACTCCAGCCTTTATTTTTCAAAGTGGTTCTATGCCTCATGTAACCACCAAATTGTTCATCTGCCCCCATGCCAAGTAAAAGAACTCGACAAGTTGAGTTGTAAGCTTGTTTACTGGGATATAACACTCCTTTTCCTCTACTGGAAAACCAAACTGCACAAGCTAAACTGTCATCTAAAATAGTTGAATGTGGATTCACTAAATTTGCAATCCGTGTTGATCTATATTTTTCAAGTTCTTGCTCTGTAATGTTGACCTAAAATATAGAGATATTAGTAATAATCAAAATTTAAAAGTTGTATGTTTAAAAAATGTTATTTATAGATTACATCAACAAAATTGAATTTTCTTCCAGGGCAAATTTGTAACAATTCATTGTACGTCTGTCTCCCAGTAATTCTATCTGGCACTTCGTAATTAGTTATGTTTTTTCTTTCAAATGCTACATTAATAAGGTCAATTGTTTCATTACTATCAAGATGATTATGGGTTAGAACTGCAAGTACTGCTGAATCCAAACCTCCAGAAAATAAAAGACCTACTTTTGAATGTTGACAAGTTGCATTTTGTTCAAATCTTATTTTAGTGCAATCTTTACAATATTTGGGTATTATTTTTACTCTTCTTCTAACTGCTTCATTAAGTACCCTTTCTAAGTTATTCACAGTTTGGCTAATGTTTTCTTTTTTCAACATATGAGACATTATATCATCAAATGTTTTGTATTCTTCACAAAGGTTTGTATACTTTAAAAATCCCATTTCAGAGTTAGGAATAATATTCAGGGACAAACCTTCCATTTTAGGTAAATATTCAGTTTCTACAACATTTATATTTATTTTGAAATGTTCAGAAAATGCTTTCAAAGTATTTTCGAACCGTTCGTTGGGCTCATACCATGGAATACACTTTAGCTGAATTTGATCATTATTAAAATCTGCAACAAAAATACCTATAGCTGGTAGTTCATACACATTTGACACACTTTTAGGAGCCACAGACGATAGAAGTAGTTGCGTATGATCTTCATTTAATCTAAAAACCAGACTGTGCCTACCAAATCGATCTCTTCCAAAATATAATAACTTAGACGATTTTTGATAATAAATAAAACTAAATGGCCCCTTAACTTCTCTTAAAACGGATGGTACTTCAGCAAGTTTTAAAGCTGACATCACTACATCGCTATCGCAAATTTTTTCCATGTGCTGCAAGATTAAAAATTACAGCTTAAAATTTTTCTTATATTTATAGATTAAAAACAAAGATAAATATATCAATTAATTTTACCATGCTGCCACTTAAAACATCTCCATTCCAGAGAAGAACATTTCGGTCGCTATCAACGAGTGGTTGTGAAATTGGTCGTATACCTTGCATCCACAAAACACTAGCATGCAAATGACATTTCCAATGATCCGTTTGTTCCTCCCAATCACCATAAGCATCAAGACCTCTAGCTTTGATGAGTTCTTTGCATTGTTCCCACTGTTACAATTATCATTAATTAACAAATTGTATAGCTCTCGCAGTAATAAAAGAATTGAATTAAAAAGGTCAATGATTGTCTTAATTAATTTTAACTTACCTCTGATGGAGTTTCGTGGGTCTCTGATTCATCAATTGTTTTTTTATTGTTACAAACACAAAATATTCCACACATCGTGTAATTTTCAAAAGTAGATTTTTAAAATAAAAATCGAAGTATTACTTAGCAGACACGCGTTTCACAATGTTCTATTGGTACGTAAAAGTAGTAATCAAGGTTAGGGTTTCGATAGATTTGCCGGCAAATAGTCACAAACGACACGTCTTGAGCGGTTGAGCCTCTGTCCCCTGCAATACACAGAATTAAGTATGCGAGAACAAGGGCAGATTTAACATGTGTTATGTTAAAAATGGAATTAAATCGTAAACACAAATGTGCATTTTGTCCGAAATATTTTGCGATTTAAAATTCTAAATATAGTAAGTACTTCAAAATTAAAAAAATAATCATTTGTCACTGACTTATTGATTGTCTATTTTATTAAAAGTACTTGAAAATACTAAAATTCACTAATTAATCGTTTGGAATTATTAAATTTTATACAATTTGATTGGAAGATCATTTGTTAAAGATGAAAGAATTAATTTTTCTTTGCGATCAAATCGATCAATTGTTTTGGTTTTCAAAATTATCAATAAAAAAAATCTAAACGATCATTTATCAAATAAAAAATTGGCAGTTTTCGCGACTAATTTTAAATGAAAGAAAATAATGATTAATATAAGAATATAAGGTGCAAGTAGTCGAATAATGGTAGGTTGTTTGTTGAGTAAACTTGTGTTACACATTGCATATATACAATTTTTATTAATTTTTATATTATACAAATTCGCCTACAATATATTAGAGGAACTACTTATCCGATGAACTTAATCGTCTTGTTTATCGTTCCTTTCACAATTTTCACGATTCACTGCGAATTTGGTTTCGAACGTATACGTAACAAGCATACAAGTAAATGCCGCATATTCTTTTTCTTTATTACAATATATTGTTCAGATTAATGCTACAGATACTTCATTACTAGTGTTTTCTGGTACTTTGACTCACTTAAATCTCGATCAAAAATAGGTTTTTATGCTTTGATACTTACGATTCCATTGAAGATATAGAAAAATAATGTGTAGTATACGTATCACATTTATCGAATCGCTCAATGTTAGCGGGCTTACGCTTTTTAAATACATTGCGTTAATAAATCTTTTTTAACAAATATTTTAAAAGCACAATGATGATTAATGAATAAATTTTTATCATTTCAACGTAATTTTTTTTCTTTTCAAAAATATGAATAACCTTAATTAATTAATGAAATGAATTTAATTAAATATTGCATACAGGTATAAGATTTTTTTCAAAATATTTAAAGACATTTTCTAACACATAGTCATAACATTATATACAGTTTATTTTGTACATTTACAAAAAAGATACAATTCTTTCAACTTGAAAGAAAATAATATTCACAAATTCACAGATGTCTTTGGAATAAACTAAGATAGCACTTTTTCATGTAAGATTAATAAAAACATATGGCGCATAATATCTCTATTATGTATCTTATTTCTGCGTAGCTTTACATATTGTACAACACATAAAGCAAACAGCTTACCAACATGAAAATATCATAAAAATATCTGGTCAATATGGAGTGCATAATAAACATTTGTATTTGTTTATGCATAGAAATTTTTTCAAGGTTCATTAAAATAAAGTGGATAAGTAGCATGATTATTATTAATTGTCACAATAATTTAGCATTAACCTTTAAGTTTCGTTCAAGCGAGCTATCTATAGTTTTAGTTTTTTTTGTAACTATTTATTAATTTTTTGATGCTAAATCGCTTTCGTTTAAAGAATAAAGAGTTGAGTGAATAATCATATTAATCTCAAAAAATTTCATTTAATTATTGTACTGAAGACTTCTTTTATCGTTCGGATATCTGCAAAATATGACGAATTATAAACATAAATCTATCAGTCTATTGTTAGTTCAAGAATAACAGATTATCTATGTTAATTCATTTACCTCATATAAGTAATAACAATGCTTTTTCGTCGAACAAATATAATTTCTCTTATACAAAGATATACATTGCATATACATTTTTTGAACAATTTGTCACAGCAGTTAAGCGAATGATTTACTATTGTATAATCTGTATGTTTGTTTTTCTGTAGATTAAAGTTATTTCGCTCAGTTACAATTACTAATGAAATCAAGTGTGTTTTAAGCGCCTCTTCTAACAAGGATGGCAGATGAGCTGCAAGTAAAACACATTTAGTGCACACTGCAAACGAAGTTTTGGATTATACATTAGTAAATGATTTTTACGGCAGTAGCTTGTACATCGATATCTGTTTTTATTTTGTGAAAAAATTGTGTAACACGACGTTGCATATAATTGTAATATTTTTACAAGGTACATCGACGCTTATAGTTGAGAATGAAATTAGCTAGCAGCATTTGATACTGTAAATTTTTGAACGTCCGTTGGGGAAAGGATAACGATCGTTTGGAGTTAAATTTATTAAAAGCGTATGTATTTGGAATTTTACTCAAATCCTGATTCAAAAACAAAGTTGAATCTCAAAAAGATCATTAGATAATTTAACGAAATTTATGACCAAATGTTTATGGCACAACTACATATCGAGTTACAAAAACATAAAAAGTGAAACGAATTTTTTTTTGAAAAAACAAAATCACGGTAAACCGTCAATACATTAAGGTCGACATTTTTTAATTCATCGATCGAAAAACAATACAATAAATGGAAAATTGTTGGTACATCATAAAAATTCAATTAAAGGTATATTATCATTATAAATATATTTACAAAACAGAAACTAAAGGCAAAAATACACTCGACGCTTGTGAAGTGGCTGCAGTGGATTAAGAGCCGTATCGTTCATGATTTTTACAAAGCTAAATCTAAATATGTACAATTTGGTTACCACACTCGTGACTTCATGCCGCACTACTATAGTTTATCCCTGAAAAAATTCAAATGGTTCGAGGTACACGTCGAAGACACCCGTTCAAATCACCGCAGCAATCGTCGGCGGATCAGTTGAAGTCAGCAGCGAGTTTAGCTCGCCAAAGTCCAGCGGAGCGCGCGTAGTACCGCGCAGAATATGCCAAAGCTTCGTGCGGCGGCGGGTAATCGAGAAGTCGAGACGACGAAGTAGACACGAGGAAAGAAAGAACGGAGACGCTCGCGCGACTAAAGATGAGCGAGAACCTCGACGGCGGCGCAGGGCGGCGTCTGGTCGCCGCTCAGTATGACGGGCTCGCTCTCGGTCTGGACGATGCGCACCAGGTTGGCGTCCTTCTTCGAGGGCACGAGGCTCGTGTGCTGGTGATGGTGGTGGTGGTGGTGGTGGTGGCCCTGGGAGCTGTTGGACGAAAGCCTGTGGTGGCCGCAGTAGCTCGGCGGCCTGCTCAGGTCGGCCCGCGAGCCCGGGCTCTGCGAGACCACGGGCAGCACCGAGGCGTGCTGGTGGTGATGGTGATTGCTCGTCGGCGACTGGACGCCGCCCCCGCCCTGGACGTAGCTGCCCGAGTTCGATCGGTAGGTTGGTGGCGGCGACGACGTCGGCTGCAGTCGGTCCAGCAGCAGTAGCCTCAGCCGATACTCCTGCATGCTAGCCTGCGAGCAAATTAAAAATACTCCTTTAACTGATCCATCGTGTTTCGGCATTCTCAAATTGGTCTATTTATGTATCGGTAGTTTGTGGAACGCCGGAGAAAATCTCGCATAGATTCGTCGAGTATTACCGATGCACTTTGATACATAAGTGCGCTCTAATAGCTCTAAGAAAGTGTAAAAGTTGGAGCAAAGCGATTTTTCGTCAATTTTCTTTATGTCCGGCATCGGAGCGAGGCACTTGCACGAATCGAACAAAAAAACTTTCTACAAAATGTGTATTTACAGTCGAGCAACATAGTTTCGAGCGATTTCCCGAGATATAAGTGTCGAATATAGCGATGGCTCGCAGGTATTGCGCGCATTAAGTTTATTGCTCGAACTTTGTCTAAGCTGGGCTACTTATCGACTTTACTCGAGCGCCGCTGCCAAAAAGTACAACAATTCGCTCAACTCTCTTTACAGCGTCCCGCTCGGGCGAAAAGTTTATTTTTGCACGCGGACGTACTCTCGACGCTTTGCAATTTGCGATCGTTACGTACTCGAGATTTTCGCGCAAATTACAAGATGGCTCGAACTTTGGAGCAGATAACGAGCGAGTCCAAGAATAGAGCACGACGGGAGGGCATAAAAATTAGGAGCGCATTACTAACCTGATAGCTCGGTGGTGGAGTGCGAAACTGAAACTCCGGGTAGATCATGGCCGCGTAGGGATGCATCGGCCGAGCAGGAGGTATCCTGCCGGAGATGCCCGTCAGACCGAAGAAGCCGCCGCAGTTCTCCCGGCTCGTGACTCGCCAAGCGACTGCGCTCACCGTCACCAGCACCACTCCTATTCCTGCAAACAAAGCAATAAAAGTGTTCATTCAAATATTGTGTATAGTATTGATATCGCATCAAAATTTGCTCGCAACAACGAGTGAAAATAGTGCTTCGAACGATACGGCTCGAGATTTTTCCGATAGACTTGCTCTAAGAACGCGAGGATGCGCGCTTAGCTTGCAGCCTGGAATTTTTTCATTCGAGCCGAGACGTCGGCTAGACATCGCGAACGCTCGTACGCGCAACACCGAACGTAATGTCGCACGCGTTAGCGCGTCCCGTCGTAGAAATAGTCAAAAACACCCCTTGACAGTTCGATAGAATTATGGGAAAATTGAAAAATTCATATGCTTCAGCTCGACTTGCTTCGATGTATGCATGGTACGCGAAATACACCGTATGAAATTCGACGCATTTCACGCTCAAGATAAAAGTATCGCTTTATTGAAATTCGATTCGGAATCTTCGTATCGGGGCTCGTCTTGAGATTTTTACTGCCTCGCAGTCGGAAGGTACTCCGGTGTAATTAGCCCAGTTGCAATTATTACCGGATCGATCGGATGGGATAAACAGTTGGGCTATGTACCTCGGGTACGCGTGCGAAAGTTCATTGCGCCATCTGCAAAGACAATAAAAAAAAAAAAAGAAAAAAGAAAAGAAAATAAAAAGAAGACGAAGAAGAAAAAAGGGAGCGCAAAGGCCGGAATGGTTTAAGGTCTGGGCGCGCAATCAAAGCGAGACAACACACACATATCTAGAGAAGCGCGCGCCTGGCTACAAAGGGAATTCGTCAGAGCTCGTGTACGTATAGACGCCAGACGACGTCGGAGAGAAGAAGACGACGCGCGCGCGTCGCTTACGTTCCGTGCCTTATACTGTATAAAGCTTGGGCAAGCTGCTGCTGCTGGTGCAACTCAATGGCCCCTGGCGGCTGCTGCAATGGCAGTTGGCACGCGCATTAAAATGCACGAGTAGAAAAAGTCCTCGTTATCTGCGAGAGAGCGAGAGCGCCGGCTCGTGTGTATACATATATACGATATACGTCAGACACAAAGAGCGAAAAGTTCGCGACGCGCGCACGCACCTCGGGAAAGTCGAAATGTTGCGCAGTATATACCGACCAAAGTCCGTCTGTGTAGTAGTAGTATTACACGCGAAGGATGAATCGAGTCGCAAGAGCACACGAGTTACGCCAGTTTGAGTAGTTGTAGCCTTCGAATTGCCCATTTCAAGTTGCGCGCGCGTGGTGAGGTCGCGATCGCGTGCTGACCAGCTCTAATACTTCGAGTGCCCATGAAAAAGTTAACTCGATTGCTGCTGCGCAAGCGAGTGCCGTAGCCGCTCCGAGAGTCAGCGATTGCACTCCGCTACGATTATATGTGCCTGTAGTTCTCGAGCTACGACGACGACGACGACGAACGCGCGCGAGTAATCGGACGATAACTCAACTACAATTGCTTCAACTCGTAATTTGCATATTATCGAAACATCTCGCTCGGCGCTCGTGCTTTGTTTGCGCAAGCTTTGTACTTTTGTCCTAGCCTAATCGTACAAGTCGTATATACGAGTCGTTTGCTTTCGAGACCATTTGAAGAGATAATCAACCGAGTAACATTTATCTGAATACGGATACCTGCTTCGATGGACTCTTCGCAATCGTGTACGAACAAAAAATTACTCGTCGGACTCGTAAAAGTCCATACGAATGTACACGGACAATTGGACTCGGTATTGTCAAGCTCGGACATTTATGCACAGCTGCAGCCTATCCTTTGTGCTCGTGTTTTGGTCTTTCTCTGCCTCTCATCGAGCACAGAGAGCAGTGGCGGTGGAAGTTCGATACCTCCACGCTCGTACTTCGACTATATGGCCTTTTATATTGATCCAAGAAGGAGCAATTCGAACGTGTGAGCTGGCAGTGGGACGCATCACGAGATCAGCCGAGTATAAATGCTAATACTTTGAACCGCTCGGCTATCGGCATATTTTCATATTATATATAGGAGGGAGAGCGTGGGAAAGCCATAGCAGGACTGCTAGCCCTAATGTACAGCTATACAGCTTTTTGCGATCGAGCTCGGTCTTTTAAAAATTCGAACAACAATTGGCCGCGCAATTATGATGCTCTCGTGGTACAAGTAGTTCGCGCGACTCGTCTGGTTTATCAATCATTCTGCAAACGATATTTCACGAGACGGCTTTGAATTCGCTTTGACGAGTGCACGAAAAATATGTCACTACTGGAATATCTACGTATATTCGCGGGCCATGAGCGGCGCGGTTGAATTTCATTACGCGTTGATAGGTGAACTCGACGATTCCGCTTGAATTGTTCACCCTCGAAGTTTGCGCCCGTGCAATTTCGTTCAATTAAATCACTTAGCAGACTGTTGAGTTTGAAATTATATCCCCGAGAGCTCGTTTGCATTCGTTCGAGAAAAAAGATACCGAAATTTCTATTATCTCGTTATTATCGTGCGCGCATATAGAAAATTACGTCGCAATAATTTGAGAGCTTGAAAAGCTTACTGCTCGTATCAGCACATGCACTAACATGAATTTTGCCAAGTACTATAATACAATAAAAACCAATCAAAGGCAGATAAAATCTGCTTCGACCTATAAGACATGGCATTTTATTATCCGATCAGGTATAAATATAAATAACTTGTACGTATAGACAATAGCTAAGATATAGTCAGGTCTATTGATGTCTTGATTTACATATTCTCACGAGCTGCGCTTTTTTCTCGCCTGATTTTTGTATCGCTAATCGCATATAGGAGGAAAAAGCAAACAAATGCACTTACTCATGAAGCTAGGCGCAAGAAAAAAAAGCAAGGTTTAGATCTCGCGCGCGCGAGAGAGGCGAGCAAGCGAAGATCGTACCCTCGAGGCTATATATTCATTTAAATCTCGCTCGTTAATTTTCTCTCTCTCTCTCTGTAGCAACTTATAAAGGAATCGCGATCCGCCGCTACCTTTGAAAAGTGCAGCTCTCTCGAGCGCGAGTATGACTAGCAGCTCGACGCGTTCTGCTCTTAATAAACGTTCACCAAGGCCGATGATTCAGATATATATGTATAGGCGACGTCGAGCGAATTAAATGCACTCCGCGCGATGCTGCGCGCGAACACAATGTCAAACGCCGTAATTACTGGCGGGATAATTTTTTAAATTCAACAACATGAAAAAAAGCCAGCTCTACCATTGGCCGACAGCAACAACAACAATTGCGACGTCGACTCATCTCAATTTAAACGACTGACAGTGTATACGGGTGTATATATATGCCTCTGCACTGCAGCCTGTACACTCGAATAAAGAGTCGCACCTTTTGTTAGAAAAACCAATAAGCGAACGTAATCGTTTTTGCGTATAGCTGCACGTTTTACCGTACACGCGGCTCGATGACGTACGAGCTGAATATAATGCGAGGATTTGTAATGGCCTAGTAAATGAGGCCTGGACGTATAACTACACTTTTATAATCCGAATAATGCTACAGGCAAGATGTCAAGGATCAAAGGAATCAAAAGAGTTGACCAAGCGGAATCCGAGCGAGGCATCGAGCGAGTAAAGTATAAAAATAAAGTAAGTAGAAAAGTTGGAGCTGCAAAAAAAAGCGCTTTGGCTATAATCTGTCTGCTTAACTATATGATAGAGCAGCAGCAGCAGCAGCAAAAGCGGAAAGAGAGCAGAAAAGGAAAGCCTCCGACAGGATGATGGAGACAGCTGTGCGTCGCGCGCGTGCATGACGCGCTCCGAGAGCAGTAAGTAGCTGGGGTAGCATAATACAAGCACAGTCCCAAGGTGTACTCTGTGTACCGATGACTGGCCTCTTCGCGTTTGCCTCGCTCGCGCACGCCAACTTACTATATATGTATACAGCAGAGATTTTTTGAGAGAGCTCGCGAGCGAGCAAAGTCGCGCTCGCGCTACCCGAGAGAGAGAGACAGACACGAAAGAGAAAGTGAAAGCAAGTCACGAGAGGCGTTGCTACAATATTCGCAATAGCGATTCTTCATTGTACTCTAGGCGCGATACGTACAGCGATTCTCCGCAGCCAATGGTAAATTAGTCTCGATATATATACCGAGCGATCGTGTATTCCCATGGCTTCGTAACGATGACACCTTTTAGAAGTTGAGCTCTCGCGATCTCGATCTCGTCAACTGCAGCAGCAGCAGCCTCCTGCACAGTCCATTATATATATATATTGTCTCGTTGAAGCGTGTCGCTCGCTGGATATATGCCGCGCGCGTTTTGTCGTCGACGAACGAAATACACGACTACTAGCGCGCGCGGGTATACGCGGAAATGAGAATTTTCAACGGCTCGTTTCGACGATTACGCGCGCTCGTGCGAACTCCCATTGTTGATAGATCCCTATTCACGATGACGGGACGACGACGCCGCCGAGACGCGTGTGCGAAAAAAGATGCCCGGACATTTTCGTTAATTTGGATCGTTTTAGAAAGTGCACGTTGCGTTGCGTTGCTTGCATCCATGGAAACGTAAGTCGCTTCTTCTTTTATTTTGCGCGCGCAGCTTTCGTGTACTTACGTCGACTCGCTTGACTAATTATCTTTTCAACGCTCGTCGACTTTGAAGCGCTCCGCGAATACATATGTACGTACGGCGCACAGCTTTTCCACGTGTCATTACGAGGAGAAAAGGATTCGCGCCTCGCAACAAAGCCGCTGCGGCCCGCATCGTCATTAACTTCCATGCTTCGCTTTGGCAAAATTCGAAACAAACCCAAATACACTTGTACTTTTTCCTCGTTCGAGTTAAATAATCCGTTGCGATCCTGCACGACGACGTCGATATGTTTGAACGAGCGATCCTTGAATCAATAGCGAGCAAAACGTCGTTCGCAGCAGCAGCAGCAGCTCCTCTATACGTTCGAGAGTCGCGTCGTTTGCTCGCGGCGTGTACGAGTAAAAGTACAACGGCCCACTCGAAAGCTCAACGATCTTCTCAAAGGATTGAGTCAAGCACGAGAGCCTGGCG